AGCATTGCCATGTGATCTCGGGTAAGTCATTTAAATTTTCTAGACCAGATTCCTTTTCTGGAAGAACTAAGAGCGTTGGAATAATTTCTTTAAAAGCTCCTCTGGTAGCCCGGAACGGTGGCTCACTCCTGTAATCCCGGTACTTTAGGAGGCTGAGGTGGGTGGATCACCTGAGGTCAGGAGTTCGAGACCAGCCTGGCCAACATGGTGAACCCCCATCTCTACTGAAAATACAAAAATTAGTTGGGTGCTGTGGCGTGCACCTGTAGTCCCAGATACTCAGGAGGCTGAGGCAGGAGAATCACTTGAATCCCAGGAGGTGGAGGATGCAGTGAGCCGAGATCGCACCACTGCACTCCAGCCTGGGCAACAAGAGTGAGACTGTCTCAAAAAAAAAAAAAAAAAAAAAGCGCCCTTCTGATTCTGTGATTGTAGTATTTCACCAAATTGTTTTTCTGTAGTTTGAGTATATACTGAAAAATAGGCAGTTTCCTTGGTTTTCTTCTTTAAAATATTGTTGGTATAGCTAGATCAGACTCTACATTTAGTTCTGATGTAAACATGAATTCTTGACATGAAATATCACATGCTTTTATTTCAGGATTAACCTCCATTTCAGCTAATCATGGGAGAGATTAAAGTCTCTCCTGATTATAATTGGTTTAGAGGTACAGTTCCCCTTAAAAAGGTATGTATGGTTTTACTATACCTCTTATTTGCAAAATCTTGTATTGTTTTTGTGTGTGATTTAGATGTCATGTCTTAGTAGTGTTTGAGAGTAAAGGTTACTGCCAAGTTTCATGACTCTGGGTTGCAGAGGATGAAGTTCACCCCTTCCCTGTCACGTACAGTCAACTTTTGAGACTCATTTTAGAGTGAAAGCAGGTATAACTGTAGTCATTTTTATTTATTTATTATTTATTTATTTTTATTTATTTTTGAGATGGAGTCTCGCTCTGCCGCCCAGACTGGAGTGCAGTGTACTGCGTGATCTTAGCTCACTGCAACCTCTGCTTCCCAGGTTCAAGCGATTCTCCTGCCTCAGCCTCCCAAGTGGCTGGGATTACAGGCATGCGCTGCCACACTCAGCTAATTTTGTATTTTTAGGAGAGGCAGAGTTTCACCATGTTGGCCAGGCTGGTCTCGAACTCCTGACCACAACTCCTCCACCCGCCTTGGCCTCCCAAAGTGCTGAGATTACAGGCGTGAGCCACCGTGCCCAGCCTGTACTCATTTTTTACAATTGCTTTTATATATACAAGCAAGCAGGTATGTATGTACTCTTCTATATAGTTTAGTGGAAAGTTTATAGCAACTATATAGTAAGTACAGTCAGATTATATTCCTGTTCCTCAGATTTAAGAATGGGGTCACGTTACAGAGCTTCTGTTTGCAGTGACATACTCATTCTGCCACAGTCATCTTCTGGAAGCTTTATTTTCCTGGGATGTTTGAAAGTCCTAAATACTTACATTGCCATTGAGTATTGACTCTGCTTCCCAAATTAATCCCAGAGTTTGGGGATCACACTAGACAAAGGCAATTCAAGTCACTGAGTAGAGTAAAACCGTTGCTAATTCCCTTGCAGAAGTGTTAGAATCCAGTGATCTTAAGATCTTTTGCAGCTGTTTGTGATGGCTCATGCCTGTAATCCTAGCACTTTAGAGACCTAGGAGGATCACTTGAGGCCAGGAGTTTGAGACCAGCCTGGGCAACATAGTGAAACCCTGTCTCTATAAAAAGATGAAAAAATTAACTAGGTGTGGTGCTATGCACCTATAATTCCAGCACTTTGGAAGGCGGAGGCAGGAGGATTGTTTGAGCCTAGGAATTTGAGATCAGCCTGGGCAATATGACGTGACCCTTTCTCTACAAAAACTAGAAAAAATTAACTGGGCGTGTTGGTGCACGCCTATAGTCCCAGATACTCAAGAGGCTGAGATGGGAGGATTGCTTAAGCCCAGGAAGTCAAGGCTGCAGTGAGCTGTGATCGTGCCACTGCACTCCAGCCTGGGTGACAGAGCCAGACCCTGTCTCGAAAAAAAAAAGCAAAAAAGTGAGTGGCAAAATGTACAGGGCAAAAACATGAGCATGAGATACATTATCACCATCTGTGACCTGCGGAAGTCCAAAGGGGAACTGTGAGGCCTCTGTGGACTTTGCCTTGCTCCATTTGTCTGCTCCTAGTGATGCCAGTGAGTGACCCTGGTTAGTGTGCTGCCATGCACACAGTGACACTGTGGAGTCCATAGCCCTGCTAGTGAGGAGCTCTCAGAAAACAGAGCCTGGAGGCCTTGAGTTTTTTAATATAAAAGTAGAACAAATACTGATTTGCATTGTCAAATGTTCAAGCAGTTAATGTACTTTTCTAAATACCACCAAAAGTCAGAGAAAACAAAAATTAAACTAGGATGCAGTGAATAATAATAATAACTAATACTTCTAGGACACTTAACATTTGCCAGACTCTGCTGAGCACTTGACTTGCCTCAGCTTGCCTTTTTTTCTTTCCTTTGTCTTTGTCTTTGTTTTTTTTTTTTTTTTTTTTTTTTTTTTTTTTTTTTGAGACGGAGTCTCGCTCTGTCGCCCAGGCTGGAGTGCAGTGGCGCGATCTCGGCTCACTGCAAGCTCCGCCTCCCGGGTTCACACCATTCTCCTGCCTCAGCCTCCCGAGTAGCTGGGACTAGAGGTGCCCGCCACCGCGCCTGGCTAATTTTTTTTTTTGTATTTTTAGTAGAGATGGGGTTTCACTGTGTTAGCCAGGATGGTCTCGATCTCCTGACCTCGTGATCCACCCGTCTCGGCCTCCCAAAGTGCTGGGATTACAGGCGTGAGCCACCGCGCCCGGCCTCCTTTTTCTTTTTTTTTTAAAGAGAGAGGATCTCTCCCTCTGTTGCTCAGGCTGGAGTGTTGTTGTATTTTTATTTATTTATTTATTTATTTATTTATTTTAAAGAGACAGGATCTGGGCTGGGTGCAGTGGCTCACGCCTGTAATCCCAGCACTTTGGGAGGCCAAGGCAGGTGGATCATGAGGTCAGGAGTTCAAGACCAGCCTAACCAATATGGTGAAACCCCGTCTCAACTAAAAGTACAAAAAATTAGCTGGGCATGGGAGCACATGCCTGTAATCTCAGCTACTTGGGAGGCTGAGGCAGGAGAATTGCTTGAACCTGGGAGGCAGAGGTTGCAGTGAGCCGAGATCGTGCCGCTGCACTCCAGCCTGGGCTACAGAGTGAGACTCCATCTCAAAAAAAAAAAAAAAAGAAAAAAAGAGAGAGAGACAGGATCTCCCTCTGGTGCTTGGGCTGGAGTGTTGTGCGATCATATAGCTCAATGCAGCCTTGAACTCCTGGGCTCAAGCGATTGTTGTGTCTCAGCCTCTCAAGTAGCTGGGACTATAGGTGTGTACCATCGCACCTAGTTAATTTTTTCATTTTTTGTAGAGATGGGGATCTCACTATGTTGCCCAGGTTGGTCTCAAACTCCTGGCCTCAAGCAGTCCTGCCTTTTGCCTCCCAAAACACTGAGATTACAGGCGTGAGCCATCACGCCTGGCCCTCAGCACATTGTTTTCTTTCTTCCTTTTTTTTTTTTTTTTTAAGACAGAGTCTTGCTCTGTTGTCCAGGCTGGAGCCCGATCTCAGCTCACTGCAACCTCCGCCTCCCAGTTTCAAGCGATTCTTTTGCCTCAGCTTCCCCAGTAGCTGGGATTAAAGGCATGTGCCACCATACCTAGCTAATGTCTATATTTTTAGTAGAGACAAGGTTTCACCATGTTGGCCAGGCTGGTCGCAAACTCCTGACCTCAGGTAATCTACCTGCCTTGACCTCCCAAAGTGCTAAGATTATAGGCGTGAGCCACCATGCCCGGCCCCCTCAGCTCTTCCAGTGCTCATTATTTCCCCGTCATGTTGGGTCAAGAACCACTCCATCAGGAAGGTTTCTGATTACCTTCCTCCTTCCTACCCGCTTTTCACCAAAAAGCCAGTTTCTCTCTGTGCCACTCCCTAACCCCTACTGGTTTGATGTATTCTCCCAGGAGAGTGACACATAGACCTTCCTCGTTCCCCTTCTGTAGCAGAGTCTCCCCCACAACTCCCCAAAGGCTTGGTTTAGAGAGGCTCCTGAAGCATCTCCTGAGCTGGTGCTGTCTCTACCCACCTATCCAGATGGATAGAGACACGAGCTAGGAGCCTTGTCTCCCCATCAGCTCCCCTGTTCATACTCTGACCCTGCACATCCCAGCCAGTCCTCTGGGTCAGCACTGCAGAATGACTGCAGACTGCCCTCCTTGTACAGACACATTCTTAAACACACACACAACCAGAAATGTGGGAAGAAATAAGATGTCTTGTATAGAGTTCACTGTTTAATGTTAAGCAAAATAGATTTCTTCCTATTGTTGTGGATGGACGGGAAAGGTAGAAACTGAGAGAAGCAGCCAGGTGTGGTGGCTCATGCCGGTAATCTTAGCACTTTGGGAGGCTGATGCAGGCAGATCACCTGAGGTCAGAAGTTCGAGACCATCCTGGCCAACGTGGCAAAACCCTGTCTCTAATAGAAATACAAAAATTAGCTGGGTGTGGTGGCACATGCCTATAATCCCAACTACATTGGAGGCTAAGGCACAAGAATCGCTTGAAACTGGGAGGTGGAGGTTGCGGTGAGCCGAGATCACGCTGCTGCACTCTAACCTGGGCGACAGAGCGAGACTCTGTCTCAAAAAAAGAAAAAGGGTGGGGGGGGAGAAACAGAGAAGCAGCAGCCCTCTGGAAGATTATAAAGTAGTTCTAAGTAGTTCTGTGGAATATGTTAGCCCTGAGGAAAGAAAAGGAGACTAGAGGAGTCTGTCATGCATGCTAATCTGGTGTGAGCTTCAGGTTACCTTGTAACAAACAAGGCAGTAGTGTTAAAATTGTCAGTGAAATGATAGTGTAAAATAACATAAAAAGTGAATTTATAAGATTTTCCACTTTTTTCTTTTAAATTTCCCTCCAGATTATCGTAGATGATGATGACAGTAAGATATGGTCGCTCTATGATGCAGGCCCCCGAAGTATCAGGTGTCCTCTCATATTCCTGCCCCCTGTCAGTGGAACTGCAGATGTCTTTTTCCGGCAGATTTTGGCTCTGACTGGATGGGGTTACCGGGTTATCGCTGTAAGTATTACTGATTCAGTATTAAAATGTAGACCGACGTTTTGTGGGTTTGTGTGTGTGTGTGTGTGTGTGTGTGTGTGTGTGTGTGTGCTTCTGTCTCTGATCAGCTATAGTAATAGGCACAGTTTGTTTGTTTGTTTGTTTGTTGAGACGGAGTCTCACTCTGTCACCTAGGGCTGGAGTGCAGTGGCGCGATCTCAGCTCACTGCAACCTCCATCTCCCAGGTTCAAGCAATTCTCCTGCCTCAGCCTCCTGAGTAGCTGGGATTACAGGTGCCCGCCACTATGCCCAGCTAATTTTTTGTATTTTTAGTAGAGACGGGGTTTCGCCATGTTGGCCAGGCTGGTCTCGAACTCCTGACCTCATGATTCACCTGCCTCAGCCTTACAAAGTGCTGAGATTCCAGCCATGAGCCACTGCGCCCGGCCGGGCAGTTTTTTTTAATTGAGGAAAGATATTGTTTGCCTATTTTAATATGTGAGATGAAGCCTTTTGAAGGAGGCTGGTGTGAGTCCACAGTCACACAGAGATTCAGAAGGAACAAACCTCTATTGGCAGCCTCTCCATGCCCAGCGTTTACGTGCATTCTCTCCTGACGCCCTTCTCTCAACTCGGAGTGGTTGGAAGTGTTGTCCTTGTTTACAGATGAAGAAACTGAGGTCTGGCTCACACAGCCAGTAAGTGGTGGAGGGAGGAACTGAGCTCTGTCTCCTGGCTCTGTTTCTGCTCCTCGTTTTATCACAGCACTGCTTCCAGGGTTGCTGAGCATGGAATATTAGACAACAAAGGGATTAGCTAACACACAAGTGACTGAAAAGCTGGCTTTTCGTGTAAATCTTTGATATTTGAGGTGAGATTCATTAATTAGCTCATATGTTAGCATTTGGTTAGGAAGTTTTTTGTTTATGATTATTACTTTATAGCCGAGTTTGGTCTAAATCCAGTTTCCCACTGATCATTCTTGAGTCTTCTCTGGGAGAAAAGTGTGTGGGAAAGGCACTCTTCCTGGTGACTGATTTTTCTTTTTTTTTTTTTTTTTTTTTTTTGCATGCTTCCACTGTAACGACACAGGTTGGTCAGGACGTTGGTCTCCTAATTTCCCAGGAAGGAGACAGCCTTTTTAGCTGGCAGTCGCCTGCAGTATTCACTTGTAAGTGGTACTCCCGGTGGGAGTGCTGCTGTTAGTGTGTGTGTTATTTACTGTTGAAGGGGTGAAAAAGCATGTCACATGTCTTCTCTTGGAAGGTAACTGAAAGTTCTACTGAGGTTACCACCAACTGAGGCCACACAAAAGAAATCAGTTCCTCTTCCTCCTGAGAGCCCATCTCTTACTTGAGAAAACAGTTATCATCACCACCACCTGCTGCTTTTCTCCTGGGTCTTTTCTTCTCTGGCTTAATTTCTCCAGCTTCTTTAACCATTCGTCACATGACATGTTTGAGCCTCTGCAACATAATCCTCCTTTGTTCAGACTTTCAGTCATTCCTCTTCACAAACAGCATTCTAAAACAGGGTAGGAACTGCCCTCATCCAAGCCCTCTGCAGCCTGAGACATGACACTACCATTTTTGGTGGCCCCTGTTGATCAGCCAGGGAGGGGGAGCCAAGCAGCCTGCAGGTGCCCGTCCCACTTGGGAGTGCTGTCCAACAGCGTTTCTCGCTCCACAGTGGCAGATCATGAGAGCCTTGGCTTCTGGCTGGATGTTTCTTCTTTGCCCTCAAGGTTCTCGATGTGGGCTTTCCCTGTTTCGTTAGGAGGATAGTTAATCAAGAAAAGGTCAACAGCGTCTTGATCAGAATGTTCAGCTCCATGAGGTTGTGGAATTTATTTGATATTTGTTAGTATCTAGCAGTTATAATGCACAGACCTTTTTAAATTTTTTTTTGTTGTAATTGTAGATTCACATGCAGTGTAAAAAATAGTTCAGAGAAATATCCTTTTTACACATTTCCTCAGTTTCCGCCAAACCTTTGCAAAACTGTAGTACAATATCACAACCAGGATATTGATATTACTACAATCTACCAATCTCATTCAGGTTTCTCCAGTTCTGCTTGAACACATTTGTTTGTATGTATTAAGTTGTGTATAATTTTGTCACCTGTGTGGGCACAGATATTTATAAATTAAAGACTCCATGAAAATATCATCCCCTTTCTTTTAGGCTATCATCTGACTCAAATTCTCAAACTTTCTGCTAGGGAGAATCGGTTCCCCATTCTTTCTTGGCATGGTGGAAGTTTTACCCACAAATAGAATTTTAATAATAAAAGTCATACATCAAATCTAAAATGATCCCATAATTCATTTGGCAGTATCCATTCCAGTGATTCATCAGTAACAAAATGAACCTAAGTGCTTAAACAATAAGCCTGTTAGACGAGGTTTTTTGGGATTTGTTTTTGTTTTTGTTTTTGTTTTTTGGTGACGGAGACTCGCTCTGTCGCTCCAGCTAGAGTGCAGTAGTATGATCTCAGCTCATGCAACCTCCACCTCCCAGGCTCAAGCAATTCTCATGCCTCAGCTTCCCCAGTAGCTGGGATTACAGCTGCCTGCCACCATGCCTGGATAATTTTTGTATTTTTTTGGTAGAGATGGGGTTTCACCATGTTCCCTAGGCTGGTCTCAAACTCCTGACCTCAAGTGATTCCCCTGCCTCAGCCTCCCAAAGCGGTGGGATTACAAGCATGAGCCACTGCACCCAGCCAGTGGGTTTTATATGTACATAAAAAAGGAATTCCTGACCAGGCGCGGTGGCTTACGCCTGTAATCCCAACACTTCGGGAGGCCGAGGTGGGTGGATCACGAGGTCAGGAGATCGAGACCATCCTGGCTAACACAGTGAAACCCCCCGTCTCTACTAAAAATACAAAAAAGAAAGAAAATTAGTTGGGCATGGTGGCACACGCCTGTAGTCCCAGCTACTTGAGAGACTGAGGCAGGAGAATCGCTTGAACCCAGGAGGCAGAGGTTGCAGTGAGCTGAGATCGTACCACTGCACTCCAGCATGGGTGACAGAGTGAGACTCCATCTCAAACAACAAAAAAAGGAATTCTTAGGGGACAAACCTGAGCCCCTTAGAAATGAGTTTGTGACTTGTACTTCTTTTTCCTCATCATTGCCAGCATTAATAGACAGGCTACATATAGTCAAGTACCATACTTCTTTTTCACAAACAGAAGTACAATAGCCTGGCATGGTACTTCTGTTGGCTCACACCCGTAATCCCAGCACTTTGGGAAGCTGAGGCAGTCAAATCGCTTGAGGCAGGCAAATCGCTTGAGCCCAGGAGTTCAAGACCAGCCTGGGCAACATGGCAAAACCCCATTTCTACAAAAAATATATATATAAAAATTAGCCAGGCATGGTGGTGCATGCCTGTGATTCCAGCTACTGGGGGGCTGAGGTGGGAGCATCGCTTGCGCCCAGGAGGTTGTGGCTGCAGTGAGCTTACAGTTGTGCCAATGCACTCCAGCCTGGGTGAGAGAGAGAGACCCTATCTCAAAAACAAGCTGGGTGTAGTGGCTCGTGCCTGTAATTCTAACACTTTGGGAGGCCAAGGCAGGTGGATCACTTGAGGTCAGGAGTTTGAGACTAGCTTGGCCAACATGGCAAAACTGTGTCTGTACTAAAAATACAAAAATCAGCTGGGTATGGTGGTGGACATCTGTAATCTCAGCTACTCAGGAGGCTGAGGTAGGAGAATCACTCAAACCCGGGAGGCAGAGGTGGAATGAGTCGAGATCGCGCCACTGCCCTCCAGCCTGGGCAACAGAGGAGACTGTCTCAAGAAACAAACACCCCAAAGTACAATAAATGAAATAGAGTAACTAAGTCATTTAAAAGAAGAGGAACAACTTTACTGAATACCCCCTTAAAGAAATGCTACCAAAAAGAGAGGGAGCTCTCCTTAGAACAAATTTTGTTTCCATCTCTCCTGAGCTATAATTCTGAATGAAATTAGATTTAAGAGAAAACCATATTTCTTTACTGAGATGGGTTCTGGTATATTCATCCTTAAACCCCAGACTTTTTCAGCTGTTTAGAAAGGAAATTGATGGGAATTGAAATTGTTACTCACATAATATCATTAGAATGTGCTTACTTTTTATACTCTTTTAATTTGGTCTGTTAGATAAAATGTGAATTACGAAGTTTCGTAAAAAGTGAGAGCTTATTTTTGCATATTTTGAATAAGGAGCAGCGCTTGAGCAAACGAGAAACGCCACTGTTTGAGTCCTAAGTTTTTCAAATACATGAGTTGCATTTTTACTTTTATGATTTTTAAAATAAAATTATTGTTACTATTTCAGTTGCAGTATCCAGTTTATTGGGACCATCTTGAGTTCTGTGATGGATTCAGAAAACTTTTAGACCATTTACAATTGGATAAAGTGAGTACCCTGAAACTAATTACATACATACAATTTTTTTTTATTTTTTGAGATGAAGTCTCACTCTGTCACCCAGGCTGGAGTGCAGTGGCACGATCTCGGCTCACTGCAACCTCCGCCTCCCGGGTTCAAGTGATTCTCCTGCCTCGACCTCCAAAGTAGCTGGGATTACAGGCATGTGCCACCATGCCTGACTAATTTTTGTGTCTTTTGTAAAGATGGGGTTTCGCCATGTTGGCCAGACTGCTCTCAAACTGCTGACCGCAAGTGATCCGCCCACCCCAGCCTCCCGAAGTGCTGGGATTACAGGCGTGAGCCACTGCTCCTGGCCCTCTTTTATTTTTTAATAATAGCTTTATTGCAACATAATTCATATGCCATGTAATTTACCCTTTTAAGTATACAGTTCCATGTTTTTCAGTATACTCCCAGGTATGTGCAACCATCACTGCAGTCAATGTTTTGTAATTTTTTTAATGCCAAAAGCCTCATATTCATTAGTCTCATCTTCCCCCTTACTAGCCCTGCAACCTAATTTACTTTTTTATCTCTATGGATTTGCCTATTCTAGATATTTTACATAAGTGGAATCATATCATATATGTGGTCTTTTTGACTGGCTTTTTTTACTTAGCATTATGAGTTTAAGGTTCATTCATGTTGAAGCCAGAATCAATACTTCGTTTCTCTTTACAACTAAATCATATTTTTATAAATATGCCATATCTTGTTTAACCATTCATCAGCTGATGCACATTTGGGTTGTTTTTACCTTTTGGATGTCATGAATAATGCTGCCATGAACATTCATGTATGAGTTTTTGTGTCGACATACGTTTTCAGTTCTCTTAGGTATATGTTTAGGGGTGGAATTACTGAATCACAGTTTTCTTAGACATAAACCACTAAATGGTTTTGGGTTTTTTCTTTTTTTTTTTTCTTTTTATTGAGACAGTGTTTCACTCTGTCACCCAGGCTGGAGTGCAGTGATGCAATCATGGCTCACTGCAGCCTCAACCTCTTGGGCTCAAGCAATCCTCCCACCTCAGCCTCCCAAGTAGCTAGGACTATAGGCACATACCACCATGCCTGGCTAATTTTTGTATTTTTAGTATACAGGCCTTTGCCATATTTCCCTGGCTTGGGTTTGTTTTCTTTTTTCCTTTCTTTTTTTGTTTTTTTAGACAGAGTCTCACTCTGTCGCCCAGGCTGGGGTGCAGTGGTGCGATGTCGACTCACTGCAACCTCTGCCTTCCGGGTTCAAGTGATTCTCTACCTCAGCCTCCTGAGTAGCTGGGACTACAGGCACGCACCACCTTGCCTGGCTAGTTTTTTGTATTTTTAGTAGAGGCGGGGTTTCACCATGCTGGCCAGGCTGGTCTTGAATTCCTGACCTCGTGATCCGCCTGCCTCAGCCTCCCATAGTGCTGGGATTATAGGCATGAGCCACTGCGCCTGGTCTGGTTTTGTTTTCTAATGCAATCTGTGAATGATATTTTTTTAAATTATATAACTTGGATGCAGAGTTGTATTATCTTGATGGACTGTGTAAATTGCATTTAAATACAATATTTTCTAAATTTCTAGCTGCTGTAAATATTTTAGTGTATTGGCTAATGATAACATATTCTGTGGTTAGTGTTAATTGAAGCAACTTTTTAATACTCATGTTCAAGATTGATCAGTATTTTAGGATCTGCCTCATATTTGTTTATAATTAGGTTCATCTTTTTGGCGCTTCTTTGGGAGGCTTTTTGGCCCAGAAATTTGCTGAATATACTCACAAATCTCCTAGAGTCCATTCCCTAATCCTCTGCAATTCCTTCAGTGACACCTCTATCTTCAACCAAACTTGGACTGCAAACAGGTAAGAACAAAATTATTATTTCTGTTCAGTGAAATTTTGAAAATGTTGGCTTTTGAGTGTTTGGTATATTAGGAAGGGAAGGCTTACATCTACTTCTATATTCTGCAACTTCCTTGGCTTTTTTTTTTTTTTTTTTTTGATACAGAATCTTGCTCTGTCACCTAGCCTGAAGTGCAATGGTACAACCACAGCTCACTGCAGCCTTTATTTCCCAGGCTTAAGCGATCCTCCTACCTCAGCCTCACAAATAGCCGGAACTACAGGCAGGCATGCGTGGCACCACACCTGGTTAATTTCTGTATTATTTTGTAGAGATGGGATTTTGCCATGTTGCCCCATGCTGGTCTCTAACTCCAGGGCTCAAGCGATCTGCCCACCTTGGCCTCCCAAAGTTCTGGGATTACAGGCATGAGTCACTGTGCCCGGCTGTTTCTTGACTTTTAAAATTAGAAACAATTACCTTTACAAAAGGAAAGAATTGAATGAACTCTAAATTCAGCTTTATTACCCTAAATTTTTAAATTTTGTTTAATATTCATTAATACACTTTTGCTGTTTCTATTCAGTAATACACTTTTGCTGTTTCTATTCAGTACTTCTATATAACTAATACCATGTTCTGTTTATCCCACTTATTATTTTGTGTAAACAGTTCCGTGTATTGACTGACATAGTTTTATTAGGCATTTGACTTTTCCCAATTCTTCGTCACATTCTACAGTAAATCTTTGTAAAAATTACTGGGTTTTTTCCCTTACCGATTTTTTTCCTTGAGATATGTTCTCCAAATGGAAAGACTAGAGCATTTGGTCTGTCAACAGATGTTCTGCACATCATGACCCTTGATATTAGTCTGTTCTTCCAAAAGATAGAAATGGTGGAAATGAGGCTGGGTGCAGTGGCTCACACCTGTAATCCCAGCACTTTGGGAGGCTGAGATGTCTGGATCACCTGAGATTGGGAGTTTGAGACCAGCCTGACCAACATGGAGAAACCCCGTCTCTACTAAAAATACAAAATTAGCTGGGCATGGTGGTGCATGCCTGTAATCCTAGCTACTCGGGAGGCTGAGGCAGGAGAATCACTTGAACCCGGGCGGCAGAGGTTGCGGCGAGCCGAGATCACGCCATTGCACTCCAACCTAGGCAACAGGAGCAAAACTCCATCTCAAAAAAAAAAAAAAAAAAAACCAAAAAAAGAAATGGTGGAAATGCTTCAGGAGCAGCCAGGGGGGTACTTGTTTCCTAGGAGCCATCCTTTCATTGATTTTTATCATTTTAAGTAATTGATGGGTATCTATGATGCCATACAGCTGGCCACAGGACTTTTTTTTAAAGGCTGGAGCCTCGCCTTGCTAGCAATGAAAGAAATCTACAAATAATAATAATACTTCTATCTCTACAAATAATAATAATAATAAATTAGCCAGATACCATGGTACACAGCTGCAGTCCTAGCTAATCAGGAGGCTGAGGCAGGAGGATCGCTTGAGCCCAAGAGTTCGAGGCTGCAGTGAACCACAATCATGCCTCTGTACTCCAGGCTGGGTGACAGAGCAAGACCCTATTTCAAAAAAAAGCCCAATGACTAAACACATCTGTATGATCAGTGTTTTCAAATAATGTATAGGGAAGTATTGTTTTCACATCTACTTAAGATTGCACTCTGATATTTTTTAGTTTTTCTGATGTTACCTTAGTAGTTACTCAGTGTTCATGCAACAATTTCTTGTATACATTAGCTACTTTACAAATCCTTCCTGTCCAGATAATGCACTAAATAATGCTCATTATTTTTGGTGATTTTTATTGCTGTTCTAATTGTTAGACTGCCAAGACAGCCCCCATTCAGTTTGTGCTCTGGCACACGAGCTGCTTTTTGTCAAGTATCTGAGTGCTTACTGTGTGCCACACGCTGAGGATACAGGAGTGAGCAAAGCCAACAGGGTCTACCCCTTACAGAGCGTACTTAGACCTCATCACCTTCAAAAGATAAGAAAGTGATGGGGCTGGGAGAGAACTTAGAGAGTTAACTGGAAGGTGACTCAGTGTTCCTTTTGAGGGAAGCTCAACTTCCAGCAAGGCTGTCCCAGTGATAATAAGCATCAGAAGGTAGTTTGCACCTCATCTAAGTAATTTTCATCATAGGTTTAGAGAAATTAGTGTTTACCCTCCAAGATGGCTCTTAACAGTTGAAATTAATGGAATAAATATAAACTAAAGATCATATATAGAAATCCATAAAGATCTGACCAGTCACAGTGGCCCACACCTATAATCCCAGCACTTTGGGAGGCAGAGGTAAGAGCATTGCTTGAGTCCAGGAGTTCTAGACCAGCCTGGGCAACATAGCAAGACCCTGCCTCTACAGAAAAAAAAATTTTTTTGAGATGAGAGTCTCACGCTGTTGCCCAGGGTGGAGTGCAGTGGCACGATCTGACTGCAACCTCCACCCCCCAGGTTCAAGTGATTCTCCTGCCTCAGCCTCCCGAGTAGCTCGGATTACAGGCGCCTGGCTAAATTAGCCCCTGGCTAATTTTTGTAGTTTTAGTAAGAGACAGGGTTTCACCATCTTGGCCAGGCTGGTTTTGAACTCCTGACCTCGTGATCCACCCACCTTGGCCTCCCAAAGTGCTGGATTACAGGCATGAGCCACTGCACCTGGCTCAGTAAATTTTTTTTTTTTTTTTTTTTTTTTGGAGAGGGAGTCTGGCTCTGTCACCCAGGCTGGAGTGCAGTGGCACGATCTCTGCTCACTGCAAGCTCCGTCTCCCAGGCTCACGCCATTCTCCTGCCTCAGCCTCTACTAAAAATTTTTGGTATTTTTAGTGGAGAGAGGGTTTCACCGTGTTAGCAAGGATGGCCTCCCAAAGTGCTAAGATTACAGGCGTGAGCCACACCTGGCCCCGGCTCAGTGAATTTTTTAAAAATTAGCCAGGCCTGGTAGTGCGAGCCTGTAGTCCCAGCTACTTGGGAGGCCAAAGTGGAAAGATCACTTAGCAGGAGTTTGAGGCTACAGTGAGCTATGATCACAATACTGCACTTCAGCCTGGGCAACAGAGTGAGACCCTGTCTCTAAAAATATTTTTTTGTTTCAATGAAAAAATAAAAAGAGGCCAGGAGTGGCTCACGCCTGTGTTCCCAGCACTGTGGGAGGCTGAGGTGGGTGGATCACTTGAGGCCAGGAGTTTGCCACTAGCCTGGCTAACATTGCAAAAGCTCATCTTTACTAAAAATACAAAAGTTAGCCGGGTGTGATGGCATGCACCTGTAGTCCCAGCTACTCGAGAGGCTGGGGCATGAGAATTGCTTGAGCCCGGGAGGCAGAGGTTGCAGCCAGCTGAGATCACACCACTGCACTTCCAGCATGGGCAACTGAGACTCTGTCTCCAAAAATAATAATAATAAATTGAAAAAATAAATCCATAAATATCAATTTGTCTTGAATTAGCCAAGTTGAATCTAATAGTAGCAAATTTGGGGAGTTGCAATAACTTTCAAATTGGGATTTTTGAAATCTATTTTGAAATATCAATCAGTAAAAAGATAATATCAACCAGAAGGAAAGACTATTTCTCTTAATGCTCAGTTTTCCAAAGGAAATAGTTTAATCCTTGGAAATAGGGCCAGTTAGGAAAAAAAAAATCTTGGACTCATCAGGATGTCTATCTCAGTAAATGTATTTTGAAATATCACTTATAATTATCCTAAATCCTCAAATAAAAGTTTAATTACATGAACCCATAACTGTTTGGAAACTTGGGAAAGTGTGTATAAAAACCAAATGCTGAGCTCTTTGGAGGAGGGGATTAGGACTTTTTATTTCTAGATCCTAAGCTAATACAAAGCTTTAATGTTCAATGAATATTTGCCATGTGTAGTCTCAGAAGTTTAAATTATAAAGTCTTTGTGTTTTACAGCTTTTGGCTGATGCCCGCATTTATGCTCAAAAAAATAGTTCTTGGAAATTTTTCATCTGGCCCGGTGGACCCTATGATGGCTGATGCCATTGATTTCATGGTAGACAGGGTAAGGATCATGACATTGGGGTGGGGACACATTGTATTGGGAATTTTTACATCTACTTGGTTCCAGAAGACAGATCTGTCTCACAAGTATGTGTTAGAGGTATTTGCTAAGCAGATTAATACATCTGAGCAGATATTATTGCTGGTAAGGGCTTGTCTACATTAGTGCTTCCCACCAGCTGTTTGTCAAAATCACTTAGGGAAGCTTTCAAAAATATAGATTGTAAGGCCTCACAGCAGACCATCCATCTGGCATCCCTGGGCATGGGATCTGTGAATCTATTTTTACTTCAGTCTTTTCCTTTACTCACCAGGTACATCTGATGAACCAGGTCTGTTGGCTTGCATTTAGGAACTCCTGGGCTAGATGATTTCTCAAGTCTCTTCTAGCTCTAAGATCCCTTAAAGGTTTATCTTTAAAAAACATACAAAAAAAAAAAAAAAAAAAAAAAACATGTATCTGTCACCTTTGAGCAGTAGGAATTGGCTTGCTGCCCATGGGCACCTGGCTGGAGTAGGCAGTGTAGGCTGAGAGCTATAGAAGGCCAGGTTTCATTGGTTTGTATCCAGGTTTCCAGAATAGAAAAATGCCACCACCTCCTGAGAAGCCCAGTTCATGGTCTCTCACCTATGTTGTGGTTCCTCACTGGTGACTTTTCTGTCCCCACCACAGATGATACCACCTTTATAAGCACAAATGTTGTCTGTGGATTTAATGTAAATGTGAAAAATAAAATTATTTCAAAAACTTTACCTGTGTTTCTTCCTGCAGCTAGAAAGTTTGGGTCAGAGTGAACTGGCTTCAAGACTTACCTTGAATTGTCAAAATTCCTATGTGGAACCTCATAAAATTCGGGACATCCCTGTAACCATTATGGATGTAAGCTTCCTTTTAAGTAAAATAGCTGCTTTGCTTTTTAAAATGTGTCTGTCAAGATCTCCTAAAAAACTATTTGATAACTTTCAATGTACCTCTTTAAATGCTGCCTTGGCTTTTGTTTTTACCCTCCAGCTTTCTCAATTCCAAAATAATCTGTTTATTGCTTATCTTGGATTTCTTTCTGGCAGGAATAACACCATTGAAATCAAAATAGACTGAACACGGAGGCTTATGCCTGTAATCCCAGCGCTTTGGGAGGCTGAGGCAGGAGGATTGCTTGAGTCCAAGAGTTCAGGACCAGCCTGGGCAACATAGCGAGACCCTGTCTTCTATTTATTAGAGAAGATAAAAATAAAAATGAATCAAAATAAATTTAAACAAGGGAGTCTACCCATTTGATGTATTTTTGCTGTTCTCATTAATAGATACTGCGCCTTAGCCATTACATATATGGGCAGCAAAGAGAAGGTGCTTCACAAGAGTGGAGAATCAAGAATTCCATAGTCTAATTACCACAAAAGCTTGCTTATTTTTTCATTGTGGTAAAATAAATGTTACAAATATGCCATTTTAACCATTTTTAAGTGCATAGTTGAGTGGCATTAAGTATATTCACAGTTCTGCAACCATCACCATTTTCACATTTTCATCATTCCAAGAAGAAATTCCATACCCATTAAACAATAACTCCTGTGCCCTTTTTTACCCCGGCCTCTGATAAGCAACAGTCTATTTTCTGTCTGTAAAAATTTGCCTATTCTAGGAACCTCATATAAGTGGAATCCTACAACATTTATCCTTTTGTGCGGCTATTTCACTTAGCATAATGTTTCACAAGACTTATCTTGAAATGTTATACATGTGTCAGAATGTCATTTATTTCTTTTTTTTTTTGAAACCGTCTCACTCTGTTCCTCAGGCTGGAGTGCAGTGGCACAATCTCAGCTCACTGCAACCTCTGCCTCCCAGGCCCAAACCATCCTCCCTCCTCAGCCTCCTGAGCAGCCTGGACCACAGGTGCACACCCACTACATCTGGCTAATTTTTTGTAGAGATGGGGTTTCACCATGTTGCCCATGCTGGACTCAAACTCTGAGACTCAAACTATCTGCCTGCCTGGGCCTCCCAAAGTGCTATTACAGGCGTGAGCCACCACGCCCAGCCTGTCATTTCTTTTTAAAGCTGAATAATATCCACCAATAAAACCAATGTTGGTTTATACCACATTTTGTTTATCCATTCATCCGTCAGTGGATACTTGGGCTGTGTTCAGCTTTTGGCAATTGTGAATAATGCTTCTATGAACATTGGTATAAAAGTGTATGTTTGGGCAGGGCACAGTGGCTCACACCTGTAATCCCAGCACTGTGGGACGCTGACTCAGGATGATTGCTTGAGCCCAGGAATTCGAGACCAGTCTGGGCAATATAGGAGACCCTGTCTCTACTACTAATAAAAAAAATTAGCCGGACATGGTGCCACATCCCTGTGATCCCAGCTACTTGGGAGCTGAGGTGGGAGGATCACCTGAGCCTGGAGTGAGCCATGATCATGCCACTGTGCTCCAGCCTGGGTAACAGAGTGAAACCCTGTCAAAAAATGTATGTATATTTGAGTTCCTGCTTTTAATTCTTTTTTATTTATTTTAAAATTATTTTTAAAAAATAATTTTTTGTTTTTTATTTTTGTAGGTACATAGTAGATGTATCCTACTTTTAATTCTTTTGGACATATTGTTTGAAGTAGAATGGCACTTTTTGAAGAACCGCCATACTGTCTTCCACAGTGGCTGTACCATTTAATGTTCCCACCAACAATGCACAAAGGTGCCAGTTTCTCTATATCCTGGACATTTATTTCTGGTTTTTTGGTTGGTACTCATCCTAATGGATGTGAATTGGTATCTCACTATGGTTTCAACTTACTGAAAAAAAAATATATGATTATTTTGCCTTATAAATGGATTTGTTCCTAAATTCAAATAATAATGGTTTTTGTTTTTTTGTTTTTGAGATGAAGTCTCGCTCAGTTGCCCAGGCTGGAGTGCAATGGCGCGATCTCAGCTCACTGCAAGCTCTGCCTCCCGGGTTCATGCCATTCTCCTGCTTCAGCCTCCCAAGTAGCTGGGACTACAGGCGCCCGCCACCACGTCCAGCTAATTTTTTGTATTTTTAGTAGAGACGGGGTTTCACCATGTTAGCCAGGATAGTCTCAATCTCCTGACCTCATGATCTGCCCACCTCAGCCTCCCAAAGTGCTGGGATTACAGGCATGAGCCACTGCACCCAGCCAAATATGGTATTTTTAATCATCGGTTTTTGTCAGGAAATTATCTCTTATTAGCGTGTAAACAACTTCTTATCCTCTGCCATAATCGCTGCATTCTAACATTTACTGTAACATAGAACAAGCTTTTCAATGGTCCTCACAGGACGTTTGCTCTGCTTGCTCTTCTTTCAAAGCTGTGCTCACCCCCTGGGTTCATGGTCACTGAAAACGGCCTATAAGTTTTAGTTGGAGATGCACTTAAACATACAGATTTAGTATGGTATATTTAGTGTACAATACTTTTTGCTTCTTTTACTTTTTGAAAAATTTTGTTGCATGTAAAAACATAAATGTATATGGGTATTGAAAAATGTCTAGAATCATATGCTGCAAACTGGCTTCCCCAAGAAAGAGTAGCTTATACTCTTTACATTTTTTTGGAATTTTTTTCACTGAGCCTAAATGACTTAGGTTGTTGCTTTAAGTTAATAATAAAAGTAAAAAGTTCTTTGGGGGCCTCATGATCTTTTTGAAATTTATTGGCATTTGCAATGATTGTTCTCTATTATTCTGTTAATCTACTTAGCTATATTTGAGGAAAAAGGAAGTTCATGGTAGAATTTCCCCCCACCCCAGCCGAGCCCGGTGACTCACATTTGTAATCCCAGCATTTTGGGAGGCTGAGGTGGGCAGATCACCTGCGGTCAGGAGTTCAAGACCAGCCTGGACAACATGGTGAAACCCCGTCTCTACTAAAAATACAAAAATTAGCCAGGTATGGTGGCACATGCCTGTAATCCCAGCTACTCAGGAGGCTGAGGCAGGAAAATCGCTTGAACCCAGGAGGTGGAGGTTGCAGTGAGTCAAGATGGTACCACTGCACTCCAGCCTGGGCGACAGAGCAAGACTCCATCTCAAAAAAAAAAAAAAAAAAAAGAACGTTCCCCCCACCAAAAGAATGCAGGAATGCAGGAGATGCTCTGCAGCGAAATCTGTAGCTATTGTCCTAGGTTGGACTTAGAAGTCACCAGGGATCAGCAGTGGAGGTAGTTCAGGCTGCTAGGGGTTCAGAATTGTCTCTTCATATGAAAGGAATACTTAGGGTAGCATTTCCATAGTGTGAAAAGAACATATTAAAACACCAATCGATTACAGCTTTGTGTATGTGTGTGTGTGTTTTACCTTTCCTATGGTGCTGAAGCTTTATGTTTTTTTAAAGGTGTTTGATCAGAGTGCACTTTCAACTGAAGCTAAAGAAGAAATGTACAAGCTGTATCCTAATGCCCGAAGAGCTCACCTGAAAACAGGAGGCAATTTCCCATACCTGTGCAGAAGTGCAGAGGTGAATCTTTATGTACAGGTAAGGCCTAGCTTGAAACCCAGAGCACTCTGAGCCCAACATACGTTTGCAACATAAAGCCTTTTTTTTTAATGGACTAGTAAGGGAATCAGGGAACTACAGAATTCCTTGTAGGAATGAGGCATTGACTTGATAAAAGTGGTTTACATTTATAATTTGTAGGATAATGTGAACAGGTGTATTAGAGATCCCTTTTCTAAGGACAGCAGGCCTGCATTCACACACCGAGGTTACCATTGGTATGATGTGACCTTGCCCTCTGGACATAGTGAATTCCGTCAGAGCAAGACATCCGACCTAAATGGGGTCAATCTGAGTCCTGTGAAGTGACTTCTTGATCTAATTTTAATGCACTAAAAGAAAACCCTGCCAAGCGCAGTGGCCCATGCCTGTAATCTCAGCACTTTGGGAGGCTGAGGTGGGCAGATCACAAGGTCAGGAGTTCAAGACCAGACTGGCTAATATAGTGAAACCCTGTCTCTACTAAAAATACAAAAAAATTAACTGGACATGGTAGCGTGCACCTGTAGTCCCAGCTACTCAGGAGGCTGAGGCAGAAGAATCTCTTGAACCCTGGAGGCAGAGGTTATAGTGAGCCGAGATGACACCATTGCATTCCAGCCCGGGCGACAGAGCAAGACTCCATCTCAAAAAAAAAAAAAAGAAAGCACTAACAAACACCATCCCTTCATACTCTAACTAAATGGATAATAGAATAGCAGTGAAGGGTGAGTGCCCTGGCAATTTGGCAAGAAGAATCAAGAGCCTTAAAAAACCAGTCATATTCCTTGATCCTGTCATCCCCTTATAGAAGACAGGGTCCTAAAGACAGGATCCTAAACAGGAAAACTTGATGCCCGGAGATATTCATCATAGCAGCACTAGTCACAGTAGCAGAAGATTGGAAGGACCTAACTCAGCGGAAGGGAAGGGTAAACGTCTCATGAGCATGCACCGTCTAAGATGTCTCAGGAGACTCTGCAGGGACTCAGGGAGACTGCTCAGGGAGTGAGGAACAAAGATCCCAAATGTAGTTTCAAAAAATTCTTTGACTTTTCTCTATTTGGTATGTATTAGTCTGTAAATTTTAGAAGTATAAGACATTTGTCTACTATGGTGATGTTTTCCTACCAAACTTTTTATAGAGGGCAGTATACATTTTACTCTGTAATGCAGCTATTTAAAATAATGATTCTGGCAGGGTGCGGTGGCTCACACCTGTAATCCCATCTCTTTGGGAGGCCGAGACAGATGGATCACCTGAGGTCAGGAGTTTGAAACCAGCCTGGCCAACATGGTGAAACCCTGTCTCTACTAAAAATACAAAAATTAGCTGGGCGTGGTGGCAGGCACCTGTAATCCCAACTACTCAGGAGGCTGAGGCAGGAGAATTGGGTGAACCCGGGAGGCAGAGGTTGGAGTGAGCAAGATAGTACCACTGCACTCCAGCCTGGGCGACAAGAGTGACTCTCCAGCTCAAAAAATAAAATAAAATAAAATCATGATTCTGCATTTCAACAGATACATTTGCTACAATTCCATGGAACCAAATACGCAGCCATTGACCCATCAATGGTCAGTGCCGAGGAGCTTGAGGTACAGAAAGGCAGCCTTGGCATCAACCAGGAGGAGCAGTAGTGTGTGTCTCGCTGTCAATGATGAGTTGACCCGGTGTGTTCTCGTATAGTCAGTGGCATCAGCGCCCGCCAGCCGGCCTTTTCCTTCAGGTTCGTCAGGCTCACCGGTTCTCACTGTGTCTGGGAAGTAGGACTGATGGTCATCTTCGTGACAGGCAGCAGCTCCACTAAGCCTGAGCAAGTGTTCCCTCTTGGTTTTCTTAGCTTTTGAATTTGAAGAAGTACTTTCGAAGATTCCCATTTTAAGAACCATGCAAATTTTGCTACCAAAAGTCTTCACCACTGTGTTCTTAAATGAATGTTAACTTCTGAGGTTTGGAACTTTGTGGTGTTTTTTCCTTCTTTTCTTTTCCATTCTTCTTTCTTTCTTTTTATGTTGTTTGCTGTAAATGCTGCACATCCAGATTGCATATTGGGACATTGGTTATTTTATGCTTTCTTGGATATAACCATGATCAGAGTGCCATGGCCACTACCCCACTGTTTGCTCTCCTGCAAATCAACTGCTTTTAATTTACACTTAAGCAAATTGTTTTGAGTGTTAGCTACTGCCTTTCTAGCTATTACAGTCATTTGGAATAAAAATTCAGTTTCACTGAGTCGCTTTTGTGATTATTGTTGCTGCCCAACTGGGCTACACAGGCTTAGGACTTTCTGAGAAGTAGGTCATGGTTGTCAATTCTGTGTGACTTTGGGTAAGTTACTTAATCTCCCAGAAGTACAGTTTGCACATCATAAAATAACCCTAAGCTATCGTTTATTGATCTACTGTGTGCCAGGTACCTTTCTTATCTTCATTCTTTCCCCTGAGTGGAAATGTTTAAACCCACATAAAGTAGAGGAAATGGCATAATAAATGATGTCCCCATCACCCAGCTTCAAAAATTATCAACTCTCAGTCTTGCTTATGTCTTTTTTTTTTTTTTTTTTGAGACGGAGTTTCGCTCTTGTTGCCTAGGCTGGAGTGCAATGGCGTGATCTCAACTCACCACAACCTCCACCTCCTGAGTTCAAGCGATTCTCCTGCCTCAGCCTCCCGAGTAGCTGGGATTACAGGCATGCACCACCACCCTGGCTAATTTTGTATTTTTAGTAGAGTCAGGGTTTCTCCATGTTGGTCAGGCTGGTCTCAAACTCCCGACCTCAGGTGATCCGCCCGCCTCAGCCTCCCAAAGTGCTGGAATTACAGGCGTGAACCGCCGTGCCCAGCCTTGTTCATCTTTTAACCTACCCGCATTTCTTCCACACATGCTGCTATCGCTAAATTATTTTAAAGCCATTTCTGGTGCTGTATCATTTCATCTGTAAGTATTTCTATGTGTACCTTTAAAATACAGCCTTAATACCATTATCACACTTACAAATTTACCGATAATTCCTTCAATTATTTACCAATAATTCCTTCACTATATTGTCTAATAATCCAGTGAATGTTCTCACTCACAATTATTCCATAATTTTTTTTTTAGGTGACTTGTTCTAATCGGGTTTCATATATAGTCCACACTTTGTATTTGATTGAAGTGTCTCTTAGATTCCTTTTGAACTGGAAGCTCCTCCTCCCTCTATTTTTTTCTTGCCATATATTCAGTGAAGAAGCAGGTTCATTTGCCCTGTAGTTGCCCCACAGTCCAGATTTTCCAACTGCAGCCTCATGGTGTCCTTCCACTTGTTTCTCTGTCCCTGGTATTTCCTGTAAACTGGTAGTTACATCAAGAGGCTTGATCAGGTCAAGCTCGATCTTTTTGGCAAGAACACTGCATAGGTGGGGCTGTGTGTTTCTCTTGCCTCATCTCAAGAGGCACATCACATCTGGTTGTGTCTAAGTTGTTATGATTGCTGGGTGTGTTCCGGCATCATCAGCCTGATCCAGTCCTGAGAAAGTCTGCTGGCTTACCTGCCACTGCTGACCATTGCACAGATGCATCATTCCATTAGGGGTTGCAGAACAGTAATAATACTAATTTTTATCTTTCCTTCTGCATTTATTAACTGGAAATTACCAATTTAAAAAAACCAAAAACTTGCCCTCATCAACTGCTTGGTTTCGCTGAGGTACAATTTAGACAGAAAAATAAGCATCAGCGCTTCTTTCCCTTTATGTGCCAGGTTTCGGAATATTGGGTTGGCCATACCCTCTTAGACTTCATCCCCAGTACAGCCCTGATTATCCTGACTTTACAGGTGAGGACCTGGAGACTGGGAGAGGTCAAGAGACTTGCTCAGGGTCAAGCAGTAAGGGGTGGAGCTGGGATGCCAACTTGAGTCTGACTATCCCTAAAACCAGTGATCTTTCCACAAAGGGGCCACGGTGTCTTCTCTATCTGTGGCTTGACAACAGTCGTGAGTTATGGAAACACTTGGTAAACCATAAGGGCGAAGCTTGACATTTTAACTAGTAGCATCTGAGGCTACTAGAGCCGTCTGACAGCTTTAACTACTCCCCAGCTCTGCACCCTGATGACTGCAAGTTGTCATTGCCAGCCCTGATCAATTTTGAGTACTGGTCTTGAATGCGTACTCAGGCCTATCAGGCCAGCCTTTGACAGGCATCCCAGCCTTCGACAGACTACCAGGCTAAAGCTGGTAGTCTAGCCCTGTTATCTTAGGTCCTGGCATCACTGTTCCTTGGAATCCCCAGTTAGGAACACAGCCATCTTAGACCCTCCACCCCCACTCACTCCTCCACCCCTATGTCTCAGGCTGAAGTGGATGTGGAGAAGAAATTTGGGGTGCAAGATGTTTATTAAGGATCAACATCTGTGGCCTGGTGTGGTGGCTCACACCTGTAATCCCAGCACTTTGGGAGACCAAGGAGGTTGGATCACCTGAGGTCGGGAGTTCAAGACCAGCCAGGCCAACATAGAAAAACCCAGTCTCTACTAAAAATACAAAAAAAATTGCCAGACCTGGCGGCATGTGCCTGTAACCCCAGTTACTCGGGAGGCTGAAGCCGGAGAATCACTTGAACCAGAGAGGCGGAGGTTACAATGAGCTGAGATGGTGCCACTGCACTCCAGCCTAAGCAATAGAGTGAGACTCAGTCTTCAAAACAAAACAAAAAGACATCTGTGAAAGGAAGATGGATTGAGTAGACAGCGAAATTGAACTGTGATCCAGGCCTGATCAAGTACCCGCCAACTCGGTAGGGCACACAGGAGCTTGAAGTGCCCACTGGAATATTTTCATGGAGAACTAAAATGGCTGGGTCTCTATGCTCAGTTCCCAGAGGCAGCTGCCCTGGGGAAGGTAGGGCGTTCGGTGGGGCAGCTCTCTGCAGCTGAGGCGGACACTGAAGGACTGACAGCTGGAGGCCGTCTGCCCAGTGCACTCCCGCAGCTGGATGGAAAGGCCTTCCTGGAAGAAGGGGGTCCAGGCAGTGCATTTCCACATCTACTACACCCACATCCCCTGACTCTCAGAGATCTAGCAACTTGCCTCCAGACTTGAGCATTTCTCACTACAGGCCAGGCTTTGGCATCTCTTGCCCAGACTACTGCAGTCCTCACTGGCTCCACCAGCCATTTCCTCCCACCCCCACCCAGCTTCTGTGTGGTCCACACGCAGGTCTGATCTTGTCACTTGCCAGTGCATGAACACTAAGGATCTCTGTTGTGGAAATCAGACCAGTTTCAGAAACTCTGAAGTGGCGCTGTAACCATTTACTGAAGCTCTGCACACGGGAAGAGATGAGGGGAGCAACCTCCACTAAGAGCCAGGGACTCCACCTCAGTTCTTAACCTGTGCATTTTATGGGTTCATTTTGATACATGATGTGATCCAGGGCCTGCACCCACTCCTAGAAGTTACCTTGGGATCCACAGGAGAAAGGCTTTGCACTTTAAGTATATAAACCTGCTTACTATATGTGAATAGTTTTAAGTACAGTATATATCTTGAAAAGGGGCCAGGCGCAGTGGCTCACGCCTATAATCCCAGCACTTCGGAAGGCCGAGGTGGGCAGATCACGAGGTCAGGAGATCGAGACCATCCTGGCTAACATGGTGAAACCCCATCTCTACTAAAAATACAAAAAAAATTAGCTGGGCATGGTGGCCTGTGCCTGTAATCCCAGCTACTTGGTGGCAGGCTGAGGCAGGAGAATTGCTTGAACCTGGGAATTGGAGCTTTCAGTGAGCCAAGATTGCGCCACTGCACTCCAGCCTGGTGACAGAGCAAGACTCTGTCTCAAAAAAAAAAAAAAAAAAAAAAAAAAAAAGGAAAAGGGAGGGGAGTAACTGTAAGTAAATACACATTGGAAAAGTGATTTAAATATACATTTTAGAAACAAGGAGAGTCACAATTAGCAAGGGAAAGTAGACTCTGAAAGGACAAGCAGATGTGTGTTTTCCAAAGGTGGAGTCTATTCTGTTCAGTTTCTACTTTATGAGACATCTAATTTTTGGTGATGGGGTAGGGAACAATTTCCAACGCATCTGAACCCCTCCCCCTCCCACCCCTCAGGTCACAGCTCCCCCTCCTTCCACACATCCTGTGCTGCAGCCACACCACGCCACGCCCCGAGGGGGTCCCTCTCCACACCTGTGGGCCATTGCTCAGGCTGTGCTCTTGGCTTGGACTGCCCTTTCCCCACTTCCGTCTCCTCTGTGAGCTTCATCCCCGTCCTTTCATCCTTCCTCCAGGAAGAAGTCCCATGGTTGTTTGCACCCATCCATTGCAGTGGGGACTGCACCCTATTTCAGTTATTGGTGTGCAAGCCCTTCTCCCCCACTAGACCATAAGCTTGGGGAAAAGGAGGGAACTGTGGGCTCTCATCTCTGTACCCACTCCTGGCAGACCACCTGGCACAAAATCCACTCAGGAAGTATTCACTGGCAGTGAGTTGAGCCGTTGTGCTTACATAGCACCAATCTGTGACAGCTTGTCTGACCTGGAATTTCGCCCTGTATTTCCCAAAGAAAAGAAATGAGTACTGGATTTGAGAGATATATTTCAACATTTCAATTTTATTGTATTTAAGAACTTTTTTGTCTCAGAAAAAAATTACAAAATTCATTGTATAAAATTCATCCAGAGAAATGATTTCAGTCCTGTAGTACCAAAGAAATATCTGCTGAGAGAAATACTATTTTGGGAAGTAGTTGATAATTTTACAATATGCAATAGAAGCAGACACACAAACAACTACAATGTGGATACAAGTTTTGTCAAATAATCAGGAGAAAAATGAATAAAAATCACAATGGCAAATGGCTGTCCAAATTTTCCAAGTCCAACTTTATAGTGCTGTGAAGGAAAGTATGAATATGAGACTCTCAACACTTGTGCATCTATGAAAATTGAATTATTTTGGTTTAAAGATCGAATTTCGGAAAACTGAAAATAATTTTTGTAATTTCAAGGTAAAAAAATTTTTACTTTCAGAAAACACATTGTAACTGTGGTAAGCCATGGCATTTATTTATGTGAATAAGATAAAAACACAGAAATTATTCTACTCTTGTTACTTAAGGTGGAAGAGGAATAATTGTGAAATTATGTTTTAATTTTCCAGCCTGGCCAACATGGCGAAACCCCATCTCTACTAAAAATACAAAAATTAGCTGGGTGTCATGGCACGCGCCTGTAAATCCCAGCTACTCGGGAGACTGAGGCACAAGAATCGTTTCAACCCGGGAGGCGGAGGTTGCGGTGAGCTGAGATCTCGCCGTTGTACTCCTGCCTGGGTGAGAGACCAATACTCTGTCTCAAAAAACAAAACAAAGGCCGGGCGCGGTGGTTCAAGCCTGTAATCCCAGCACTTTGGGAGGCCGAGACGGGCGGATCACGAGGTCAGGAGATCGAGACCATCCTGGCTAACACGGTGAAACCCCGTCTCTGCTAAAAAAATACAAAAAACTAGCCAGGCGAGGTGGCGGGCGTCTGCAGTCCCAGCTACTCGGGAGGCTGAGGCAGGAGAATGGCGTAGACCCGGGAGGCGGAGCTTGCAGTGAGCCGAGATCCGGCCACTGCACTCCAGCCTGGGCGACAGAGCGAGACTCCGTCTCAAAAAAAAAAAAAAAACAATTTTCACCCTTAAAGTGTAGCTCAGAAAGATTTAGAGTAAGAGCATATATTTAGCTCACAACATATATGTTAGGAAACAAAAGAATGCTGATTAAATATAAATTAGTGGTAGGTAAAGTTGTCTATTTTTTTCCCTATCATGTCTCATAAGGTAATAGATCACAAATATGTTTTAGAATTTTTCTTAAGTTTCAAGAATCCAAAGATGGCCAGGCTCTATGGCTCATGCCTGTAATCCTAGCACTTTGGGACGCCAAGGCAGATGGGTCACCTGAGGTCAGGAGTTCGAGACCAGCCTCACCAATGTGGTGAAATCCGTCTACTAAAAATACAAAAATTAGCCAGGCATGATGGCACGTGCCTGTAATCCTAGCTACTCCAGAGGCTGAGGCAGTTGAATTGCTTGAATCCAAGAGACGGAGGTTGCAGTGAGCCAAGATCAAGCCACTGCACTCCAGACAGGGCAACAAGAGCAAAATTCTGTTTCTTTTTTTTTTTTTTGAGACAGGGTCTCACTCTGTCACCCAGGCTGGAGTACAGTGGCACGATCTCGGCTCACTGCAAGCTCTGCCTCCCGGGTTCACGCCACTCTCCTGCCTCAGCCTCCCAAATAGCTGGAACTACAGGTGCCCACCACCACGCCCAGCTAATTTTTTGTATTTTTAGTAGAGACGGGGTTTCACCATGTTAGCCAGGATGGTCTCAATCTCCTGACCTCATGATCCACCCGCCTTCCCAAAATGCTGGGATTACAGGCACGAGCCACGGCGCCCGGCCAAGCAAAACTATGCTTCAAAAAAAAAAAGGAATCCAAAGAAAAAACTACACCTGCAAAAGATGAAGAGAGAAAAGGAAGCTTTTTCTCTAAAAGCATCTCTTGACAAATAGTGCAGATATCCTCTGAACCAATTTCCTTCTGTTTAATGTACCTGTATCTTGTTTTTTTTTTTTTTTTTTTTTTCCATTTAATTTATCCTGGAGCTCTTTCCATAACAACACGTGGAAAGCATCCTCATCCTTTTACTGCTGAACAGAATTCCATTGTGTGGATGGAACATATTCTATTTCACCAGTCCCCTGTAGCCAGTCACTTGGTTTGTTTCCAATCTTTTGCTTTTTCAAAGTAATAACCTTGTATGTCTGTCATTTTTGTATGCATACAGGTTTATATGTAGGACAAATTCCTAGGACTAGGATTGCTGGACCAATGGATAAAAGTATATTGTGGATGGATAATGCCAAATTACCTTTCAGAGACGGTGGCCCTGTGCACCCCATCAGGCATGTGTGACCGCCAAAGCCCCTGTCAGCTGTTTTATTCTATCTCCTTTCCAGTCTCAGGCTCAATGCAGAACTTTGAGATAAGCTTTTCTCAAATGTAGGCTCCTACACTGGCCACAGCCAGCTCTGCCACATGAAAGAGAGCTCAAATGAGACAGAAACAGCCTCTGGGCAGGATTTCTATCCTGCGCAGATATATTTTCCACATTCTAGGAAACCGTGAAGCTTCCAGAGCCACATTTCCCCAGAAACACATCCCCCTGCTGGTGTAGCCGAGCCCCACAACAAGCTGTGCTTGCCTGGCACCTCAAAGCCAAGCACCATGGATGCCACTTGCCATGGGTGCCTACAATTTCAAATAATGAGAAATAAGAAATTTCAGCTTCTCAGTCCCTCTAGCCAACATTTCAGGTGCACGAAGCCTCAGGTGGCAAGCAGCTACTCTCCCGAACAGGGCAGAAGATGGAACGCCCCATCCCTGGGGAAGATCACGAGGTCAGGAGATCGAGACCATCCTGGCTAACACGGTGAAACCCCGTCTTTACTAAAAAAATTAGCCGGGTGTGGTGGCGGGCGCCTGTAGTCCCAGCTACTCGGGAGGCTGAGGCAGAAGAATGGCGTGAACCTGGGAGGCGGGGGTTGCAGTAAGCCAAGATCGCACCACGGCACTCCAGCCTGGCGACAGAATGAGACTCTGTCTCAAAAGAAAAAAGAAAAAGGAAGAAGAAGAAGAAGAAAGTGTGCCAAGAACTCCAAGAGCTCCAAAGGACCATACCTGTGGGACGGGATTACCCACAAAACCCGAAACAGGCCCTTGGACCCATCCTCATGAAAAAGATCATTGTACAAACATTTGCCTGCTGGGCTCTGCATGACTGCATTTCAGTAGAATCAGTTGGAGGTCCATTAACAGTGATTTTTTAAAAAGCCCTTAAATGATGGTCATCTTCTCTTCAGGTGGCTCCACACGCTGAGGTCCCACGTGCCTGAAGGTCTGGCCCCCCCGTTACATGGCTGTGCACCTCCTGGGGGCACTTGGGGCTGCGTTTGCTTTCTTCCTGATGTTTTCTGTTAAAAACAAGAATCTTACTTCCTCTGTTGCCTAAGCTCTGCCTCACAGGACTGGTTTTATGTTTTAATTGCCTGCCAGAGTTTGTGTTAAAAGAAGATGCAACAACTATATTTAAGAACATTTTGGGGAAAGAAAGGTAGCATCCCTAATCCCTCTACCCTGAAATGACTCTTAGCTTTTCCACCTGGCCTATAGCAGCTATGGGGGGGGGGGTCCTTTCCTTTTTTCCCTCAATAATATGCTAGAAATATTTCCCTCGGCAATACACTAGAAATATGTCAGGATTGGTTTTCTTCGTTGCCTCATAACTAATGGAGCCTTCACAACTGTCAGTGATGGCCTAGTGCCCCATTCTGTGGTTGCCCCATCATGTACCATGTCAGTGGGTATCACAGCGTTTAAGGCTTTTCATCGTGAGCTGATTTTGTTTTTAACGAGGGGTTAGTACTAGAACCTTCTATCTTGCTTGTCTGATGATTCCACAGAACACTCTGAATCCCAAATCAGGCTTTTGAAATTGGCATACTCAAATAAGTTGTGATGACCTCAGAAGGTTTATTTGACCTGATTTAACTGGTTCAACTCATATTAAGTCAGTTTTGGCTCCTATGTCTTAATGTTTGTGAAAAAGAAGTCCGAAGGTGGCTGATTCCAAAATGGAAAAAAAAATATCAAGGTATATAGAAGGCTGGTAAGCAAGAGATTCTGGACAGCATCGCTGGCCCCGGGGCTGTGAAGGTCATAGGGTTCAGTTTGGGCCAACACCAGGGCCAGGAGGCACTGTTGTTTGCCCAAGGGAAAAGGGGGCAGGGCTAGGGGTAGGAATCTGGAAGGCCCAGAGCCAGCATCACAGCATTCTTGTCTGAGCAGCCCTTGGAGGGCCCTGCTGCATTCCAGTGGGGGCCACCCAGCTCCTGAGAAGAAACCCAGCAGAGTACGCTCTTACCAGCCAGTTCCCTCCTGCCAATGGTCACAAGGCCCTCGAACAGTGCTTTGCTGGGGTTCTCACCAGCTGTGGAGACGCCATGCAGCCAAATGAGCAGCATTCGGTGACCGTGCTCCTGATAGCTCCTGGTGCCTGAGGACAGTGAGGGAGGAGAGAGGGAGAAAGAGCCAATGGGGCCACTTGACCAGAACGCCTATCTATGCCACCCTGCACCACCTCCTGAACATGCCCAGGTGGGAAAGAGGCCAAAAGCCTCCAAGGCCCTTCTCCATGCTCCAGCCAAGCTCAGCCTGGAGATGGGTAAGGGGAGTGGAGGAGCAGCCTCTCGGAGGGGGAAGGGTTTGTATCTTGGTCTCTAGAACCTCCCCAGCCCCAGGCCTTCTCCTGAACACCCACTATACACTCTGTTGGTGTCACTCTGAATGGAGAAAGAATTGACATTCATCGTTGTAGTACCATGATGCACAAACTGTACACTTCACCTCTCTGGCTGCTCAAAATAATCTGTGTCTTGCATGATAGTGGTCCTGATTTACAGATGAGAATACAGCTTAGTCAGAGACGGAGCTGGCCATGCTCTTTCCCCTGCATTGGTGGTTCTGAGACTCAGCTGCTCCTTGGAAACACCTAGGGCCCATGTCACCCCCAGAGATTCTCATGTACCTGGGTCTGGGTGCAGTCTAGGCATTTAATGGTTTTAAAGTTTCCTAGGTGGTTCCAACATACAACCATGTTTGGAAAATAATTGCCCACACGGCATGGGGTTAACATGCTATTCGGCTGGCTGTGATTCAGCTGGCTCTCCTGTGCTGGGGAAACAGATACATGCTGGGCCACACCCATCAGGTCCAGGTCACTCCATTTGCCCCTCTGACCTTCCATGTCCCTCTTGGGGCCCTCAGCAGGCATGTCCTCACAGTGCTGCCCTTGGTGTGGTGGCACTTCCACTTGACCCAACGGTCTCAACACCATTTGTTAAATATCTCTGCCCCCACCACTGTAATGTACAAGTGCTTCTTTATCATATATGAAAGTTCTTATCTGCAGCAGCGTTTACTTTTGAACTCTGCTCTATTCCACTGATCAATTTGCATATTTTTGTGTCAGGAATCTCTCTTTTTTTTTTTCTTTGGGAGACAGAGTCTCACTCTATCCCTCAGGCTGGAGTGTAGTGGTGTGATCTCAGCTCACTGCAAACTCTGCCTCCCGGGTTCAAGCGATTCTCACGCCTCAGCCTCTCGAGTAGCTGGGATTACAGGAGCCCACTACCATGCCCGGCTAATTTTTGTATCTTTAGTAGAGACGGGACTTCGCCATTTTGGCCAGGCTGGTCTCGAACTCCTAACTTTAGGTGATCCCCCACCTAGGCCTCCCAGAGTGCTGGGATTATAGGCGTGAGCCACCATGCCTGATCCAGGTATCTCTTTATGTAATTTTAATTTGGCTTTATAAAAGGCTGAGTCTGCTTGAGTTAGATCCCCTTTATTGTTTTCCCCCAGAATGTTCACTTTTACATCCCTGTTTATTCTTTCAAATTGTAGAATACTTCAATCAAGTTCAAAAACCTCCTATTTTGATTAAAATTAGATCCAATTTTTAATCTAATTGGGGAAAACTGATATCTGTATGATACTTTTTCTTGCCACAAATACAGAATGTCATTCCGTTTACACAAATCATCTTTTAGAGTTGAACCATTATTGTTTTATTCATATGTGTCATCTGTATTTGTCTTTTAGGTTTTCCAGATGAAACACACACACCATTGTAAATGGAGTCTCTTTTAAAAGATTCTCTATATATAATTTTTGCCCATTTAACAATGGTTCATAGGAGTTCTGCGGTGTTAGTATATTTTCTATATTTAGCCATTTCCTTGAATTATTTGATTAATTCTAAGATTTTTTTTGTTGATTCCTCTGGGCATCCTATGTATATTAAATATTCCATCTGAAATTAATAAGTCTCTCTCTTCCTTTACAATATTTACACTCCTTATTTCTATTTCCTTTTCATACTTTAGTGTCAGGGCCAGAATTTCCATATAGATGTTGAATAATAGTGACAACAGCAGTCCCTCTTCTTTTTACCAAGAATGGTTTTAGTTTAGGTGTAAACAGTGGGTATCGGTTTGGGCTGATTGGTGAAGAATGTGAAATTCACAATCAATGGGGAGGGAGAGGCAGAGTGTGTACCCTGTGCGGAGGCCTGGAGGAGGGACAGAGCACCAGGTGTGTTGGGACCAGGCTGTGGGTTGCACAGGCTCTTTCCCCTGAAGCACAGAAAACTGAACACATTTCAGGTGCCCCACCCCTCTGCCCACTGGTTGCTTGGAGGGAGGAGAGGCAAGGTGCTACCTGTCCACTGTTGCTCGATGGCGTAGACATGCGCCTCCGTGAAATCCCAGGAATATGCCAGCTTCTTCCACTCACGGGGCTGCAGATGCCTGGAGGCCAGCCGCCACAACACAGAACGGAGATGCTGTGTTTCCTGCCGATGGTCCTGCTTAAAGGACAAGCTCTTCCCAGAGGGGTCACTGAGGTCCCTGCATGAAAGGTGGTCCTGTGGGGCAGATCCCAAAAGTGCAGAAGCTCTCCCTCACGATCCCGGACAGGGACAATGCCGAGCCAAGGCCCCTATGACCCTCCTACCACCTCTGCTGGGGAACCTGGGAGCTGGAGTCAGCAAGGCTGGGGGCTTAACGTCCTCTCTTCTGGTTTCTCACTCCATGCCTTGCGTTGACCTCTGGAACCCAAGTTGCTCCCACTGTTCTTCCACCCGGAATTCCTCTGCTCACCTTCCTGCCCCTCAACCTCATTGTCATAGTCAAAAGACCACCCATGTGCCACTTCCGGGGAGCCTTTCCAAATTTCTCCGGTCACCTGCTCTTTCCTGTGTTCTTAGAACATGGGTGTCGGCAGAAGTACTCCGAAGCTTTGGCCAAAACCAGGCAGGGCAGGTATCAGATTTGCTGAATCACAACAGGCAGTAAAGGGTAGGATTACAAAATCCTTTCTAGCAAAGCAGGCAATGAAATTAGAGGTTACAAAAGAATTCTATCATAGCATACATGAAGCCCACAGAAGCCTAAGGCCCTCTAAAGGGAATGGATGCAGAGTTCTGGTTGTTAAGTTCAGGGTGAAAAAAATCACCCTGGTGTCTGCAATTCCAAAGCTTACGTCATGGTCAGCAGTCTCTGGCAATCACTGTGAGGTGAAGCTTGGTTCTCACCTGGGGTATTAAAAACTGGTCCCCTGGGGCAGTGTTTTCAGCCCTATCTGCACACTGAGACCATCTGGGAACTTTAAGAACCACTGATGTGTGGCCCCCACCTCAGAGATGCTACCTGCATTGGCCTGGGGGTCCAGGGGGGATTTGTGATTCTGACATGCAGCCACTGCCTTAGTGGTGAGGACCTGTAAAGCCTGAAGTGGCTTAGTACTCAGCACAGAGATGAATCAGTCCAACCCTCAGTATTCACATTTTGGGATTATATTTAGGAATAATCTGTTGTATGTAAAGGGGTCGTAATATTTAAGGGAATCTAGCATATCAGTGGGAGAACATCTTATGATTCCTACTGAAATTTATCTACCAATTGATTTTGAAACAGTGATTTTTATTTAAAAGGGATAACAGTTTACTAAGTTTGTAAACCACATTGGAATGTTTAAGATATTTGAGATTATTTCTAGTTTTAGTTAATGGTCTTATTAGGATAGTTTAAGAATTTAAGAAGCATGTGAAGTGCTTAAAAAGAAAATCTGTTATGTTAAGCTTATTTATTCAGTTTCAATGTTTAAGGTAGTTTGACTGAGTTTAAACACATGACCCAATATTACTCAAAAGATTTCCCTGAAACTGACTGGAAAAATTTACTCGTTGTATAAATAGAATAATAAGATTTATCAAATGAATTTTAAAGTTTAAGGAAAAACTAGGTTTTTAAATGTGTAATTTAGCAGATTCAATACAGATGCCCCTCAACTTATGATGGGGTTATGTCTTGATAAAAATATCATAAATTGGCCAGGCGCAGTGGCTCACACCTGTAAACCCAGCACTTTGGGAGGCTGAGGTGGGCGGATCACGGGGTCAGGAGATCGAGACCATCCTGGCCAACATAGTGAAACCCCGTCTCTACCAAAAATACAAAAAAAATTAGCCGGGCATGGTGGCACGTGCCTGTAGTCCCAGCTACTTGGGAGGCTGAGGCAGGAGAGTCGCTTGAACCCAGGAGGCGGAGGTTACAGCGAGCAGAGATCGCACCACTGCACTCCAGCCTGGGTGACAGAGTGAGACTCTGTCTCAAAAAATAAATAAATAATAAAATATATATATATATATCTCTCATAAAAGTTGAAAATGCATTTAATCTACCTAACCTACAGACCATCGTAGTTTAGCTTAGCCTACCTTACATGTGCTCAGTACACTTACATGAGCTTATAGTAGAGCAAATCATCTAACACAAAGCCAATTTTGTAATAAAGTGTTGAATATCTCATGTCATTTATTGAATATGATATTGAAGTGAAAAACAGCATGGCTATACGGGTACTGAAAGTACGGTTTCTACTTAATGTGTATTGCTTTTGTGCCATCATAAAGTAGAAAAGTCATAAGCTGAACCATTGTAATTAGGGACCATCTGTATTAACTTTGAAAACTGAAGTAAATGCAAAATTATTTTCTGTATATAAAAACAACCCCCAAGGACACCAGAAAACTCCCTACCTCCATTTGCTAACTGGAATAGCAACATTCTGCCACTCCTCTGTCCCAAGTCCACAGGAGACATTGCTAATCAATCCCAGCACACTTACTTCTGGCTCAGAAAGTTGCCTGAGCATAACATCCCAAGCAGCAGTTCAATCACCTGGAGATTGCATGAGATGGAACCACCTGCCATCTCTTTTTCACACATGTCCATATGCATTCATGCATGCACGCATTCGTCAGCTGGATGCTACAGCAGTGTCCAGCAGTATCTCCACGCTGGCATGGACCTCAGTCTGCCTAGTTTCAGCATGTGTGGACACTTGCCCATCACCAGATCCTCACAAACAACTGTGGTAGCATACAAGGTGGTGATTATCACCCACTTGGAGCCTGAGGGACCCAGAATTGGTCAGGGCTGGAATTCAAAGCCAGCTCCATCTGGAGCCAAAATCACTCCCTTTCCAATGAGGAAATATCAAGCGTGAGGCCTCCGTACCTTCTCCCATTTGTAGAAACGATCAGCTTTTATGATCATGTCCACCAGGCTGACATGGTTGCTGCGGGCGGCCACTGCCAGGGCGGTTTTTCCCTGCTGCAATTAAGAGGCAAGAAGAGAAGCCAGAGTTTCTACAGAAGGGATACAAAAGGGCCTCTAGCACTGAGCACAAACCCTCCTGCCCATAAGAAGTGCTTTCCAGCAGTCTACACTGAGAGCAGAAAGGTTTTCTGGTTTTCTGGGCATGATGGGGATATGGAAAAGTCACAAATAGAATAAAGCAATAGCAATACATAATTCCAATGACCATTTCTTATGTTTCTTTAGAAATCAGGAAGCTTTAGAGCTTGTGAAACTCAGCCCTCATTAACTCTTCAACATCCCCTGTGAAATAGGGGTTCCCACCCACTTTTCAGATGAAGAAACCAGAGCCCAGAGATGGTGGCTTGGTGGTTTTTTTTGTTTTGTTTTTTTGTTGTGTTTTTTTGATACGGAGTCTTGCTGTGTCGCCTGGGGGGAGTGCAGTGGCAGGATCTCGGCTCACGGCAAGCTCCACCTCCCGGGTTTACGCCATTCTCCTGCCTCAGCCTCCCGAGTAGCTGGGACTACAGGCGCCCCACCACAGCCAGCTAATTTTTTTGTATTTTTAGTAGAGACGGGGTTTCACCATGTTAGCCAGGATGGTCTCGATCTCCTGACATCATGATCCGCCCGCCTCTGCCTCCCAAAGTGCTGGGATTACAGGCGTGAGCCACCGCGCCCAGCCTGAGGGCTTGGGTTTATCATGTCAATTTTGCCCACCTCCCATCCAGCCTCCTGTTCTCCAGGCCTCCCAGATGGTTACCTCCACAGACCTGCAGTGAGAAGGGAAGCTCCCCTTCCCATCTGGCCAGCTGCCCTGGTGCCTAGCTCAAAGCAGGGAGCCTCCTCCTAGGTCCAGCTTCAGGATCTGATCCTGGCCCCCAGCTCTACCCCACACCATCTCAGGCTGGCCTCGCCGAGTCACATGTGCAGGTGCCCCTCTCCCAATACACCTGTGACCTCCCAGCCTCATACCAAATCTTCGGCTCTGCTGAGACAACTAGCACCTGCGGAAATAGCTGTCACAATGAGCTGGGAAGCTTCCCCAAAACCGGTCCCACATGTGGGGGTTGTTGGACAGTACTGTGGGCAGTACTTCTACTCCCCAACCCTACCAGGCGACTCAGGAGGTCACAGTCTGATGGGGGCCATAAAGGAGAAAGCAATCATTTCACAGGCCTATACCAGAGAGGGGTAGGCCAAGGCTGAGGGACCTTAGTAGAGAGAGGGGAAGGTGGTTAGGAAGGCTTCCTGGAGGAGGTTGCATTTGAGCTGGTATAGAAGGGATGGCAGTCCTTGAACACCCTGAGAGGGAGGAGGGAGGGGGCATTCGTAGCAGGGTCTCTGGCAAAGGGGGAGCCATGAAAGCCTGAGGCGAGGTGGGTTGTAAGCAGAGGTACCTTATCTCTCAGGTTTAAGTCAACCCCAGCAATGAGGAGCATCTCTGCTATGTCCTGCCAGGCGTGCTCTGCAGCCAGGTGAAGGGGCGTCTGCTGCCTCTAGGGGAGAAGCCAAGGGAACAGGTAAGTGAAAAGCAAATGCGGTGGCCCGCCACCCTAAGTCAACCCCCACAATCATCCTAGTATATTTCTTCTAGTCTTTTCTTTAATGCAGAATGTTTTTAGTTTGTTGGTTTTACATACATGAGATCATCCTATGTGTACATTTTACATCTTTTTTTTTTTACCCCAACATGATACTTTTTGTGTACTATAAACTCTGATAAACACAATTTTTGATAACTCCATAATAGCCTATTTGTGTCTGTGCCATAATTTACCTAACCACTTCCCTATTATTAAATATTGAGGCCATTTTCAAAGTGAAGACTGATAAATAATACTGCAGTGAATATTTCTGTGCATGAGCTTTTAATATGTTTTTCAAGGCTCAGTTCCCAGCAGTGCTCACACATATCATTTAAAGGTATATGATATATTCTGCCAAACTGCTTTCGACTCCCAGTGGCTCTGTAAGCCATGCCCTTGCTGGTACTGAGAATTATGTGGTTGGTGGTTAGATTGTGGGGACAGGATTTAAAAGGGCTCTTTACTGATCACAGCTTCAGGACTCAGAGGCCTCTTAATTTTTTTTTTTTTTTTTTTTGAGACGGAGTCTCGCTCTGTAGCCCAGGCTGGAGTGCAGTGGCCGGATCTCAGCTCACTGCAAGCTCCGCCTCCCGGGTTCACGCCATTCTCCAGCCTCAGCCTCCTGAGTAGCTGGGACTACAGGCGCCCGCCACCTCGCCTGGCTATTTTTTGTATTTCTTAGTAGAGACGGGGTTTCACCGTGTTAGCCAGGATGGTCTCGATCTCCTGACCTCGTGATCCGCCCATCTCGGCCTCCCAAAGTGCTGGGATTACAGGCTTGAGCCACCGCGCCCGGGCAATTTTTTTTTTTTTTTTGAGATGGAGTCTTGCCCTGTCACCCAGGCTGGAATGCAGTGGCCAGATCTCAGCTCACTGCAAGCTCCACCTCCCAGGTTCACGCCATTCTCCTGCCTCAGCCTCCAGAGTAGCTGGGACTACAGGCGCCCACCACCATGCCCGGCTAATTTTTTGTATTTTTTTTAGTAGAGATGGGGTTTCACTGTGTTAGCCAGGATGGTCTCGATCTCCTGACCTTGTGATCCGCCCATCTTGGCCTTCCAAAGTGCTGGGATTACAGGCATGAGCCACCATGCCCAGCCCAGAGGCCTCTTTTTACATAAGGCTGCCTCAGTCACCCCTGCCCTGGGAATTTTCCCTAAGGGAAAAAAGCAATGAAAGGAAAAGGTTGAATGTAAAAAGATATTCACTGCAATGTTTTTTTTTTTTGTTTTGTTTTGTTTTGTTTTTTGAGACGGAGTCTAGCTCTGTCGCCCAGGCTGGAGTGCAGTGGCCAGATCTCAGCTCACTGCAAGCTCCGTCTCCCGGGTTTACACCATTCTCCTGGCTCAGCCTCCCGAGTAGCTGGGACTACAGGCGCCTGCCACCTCGCCCGGCTAGTTTTTTGTATTTTTTAGTAGAGACGGGGTTTCACCGTGTTAACCAGGATGGTCTCGATCTCCTGACCTTGTGATCCACCCGTCTCGGCCTCCCAAAGTGCTGGGATTACAGGCTTGAGCCACCGCGCCCGGCCTATTCACTGCAATGTTATAGATCATGGCCAAAACTTGGGAACACCCAAAATGTTCAAAAGAGGGGAATGATGAACAAAATGATATTCCCTTCAACAACTATTTAAATTACCTTTTAAAAGCTAAAAAAAAAAAAAAAAAGCAATTCCTCAACTCTGGGCCATGCTAGGAGACCACAGCCAAGCCTGCCAGCCTGGGAGGGTTTCCAGAAGCTCCCTGGGGCCCGGAAGGTCTCTGTAGCCACTTACGTTGTCCATGGCATTCAAGTCACTGTCAGAGTTGATGAGGAGCTGGACCAAGGCAGGGAAGTTGTGCATCACAGCGAGGTGCAGAGGAGAGGCACCCTGCTGTGGGAGGAGATACACGGATCAATCGACGAGTCCCTCCCAGGACTGCCCAGCTCCAGGCTGGTGCTGGGGACAGGAGGAGGGAAGGGTATAGTGCTTCTGGGTTTGACCCTTTTAGCTTCTTGGCTGACATGGATGGCCTTAGGCAATTAAGGTCCCAAAGCTTGAATTCCTGGAGCTCCAAACTGATCCTCTAGATGGGTGAGAGTCTGAAGACCCAAGGGTGAGACCCTGCTATGTCAGGAACTCACTATGTGACCTCGGGCAAGTCATTTCCCTTCTCTGCTACTCTTCATCTGGCAAGTGAGGTTTGCCATGGTCCCTCCTAGCAACAATACCTGAAGATTCTCTGACATCTCATTTAATCCACACATCAACCTAGGAAGTATATAGGGATGGTGTTCTTATTAGTATCTTCATCTTACAAACAGAAACACTGAAGTTCAGAAAACTTAAGTCACTTACCCAAGGATACATAGCTAATAGGAACTATGTCTTATTGGACTTTCTACTCCCACTGCGTCCCCACCCCCAGTACCTAGGTACCTAGTACCTGATAACTATTTGTGTAGAAAATGAATGAATGAGAGAGCCAGCTGGGACCAGAAAAGATACCTCACTCCAAGTTCAACTCTCCTTCAACAGTGGAAGACACTATCCTCAATAGTCTCCTGTGGCCCCCTGAGTAAATGACAAAGAGGGGATACTCCCTCCTCTCTAGGTGATATAGTGACACACATACTGTGGAATAATACAAGGCCAATAAAATTGATATTAGAAACTAATACTTATTGTGGAAAACATCTTCATGTATTGAGCTATAAAAGGGTTACAGAACAGAATACACACACACATAAAACAAAAATGCCCATTATTGCCATTACTAATTTAGGCCAGTGGGTATGGAGTGTTATCAGTATTAGAAAAGAAGATTTGAACAAAAAATTATTTGAGACATGTAATTATATATTTACACAGAGCTTGCACAGTTGCTCTGTCTTACCATGTGATGCCTCCCATCATGTCACAACACAGCAGGAAGCCCCTTACAAGAGGCTAGTACCATGTTCTAGGACTTCCCAGCCTCTAGAACCATGAGCTAAATAAATCTCTATTCTTTATAAGTCACCTAGTCTATGGTATTCAGTTATAGCAACACAAAATGGACTAGGACACCTTTCTCCGCCAAAAATCCTAATGGAATAAAGTTATGTGGAAGACAAAAATACTCTTCAGTAGCATTCTTGTATTGAATGTTTACGAGACATGACATATAATTTTTAAAAAGATATTCTAGTCACAATGACAGCCAAAAAATATAAACTAATTATGAAGGATATAATTAGAAATGAATAAGACAAAGGTAAACCAAAGCTATATAACATCACTTAGGGATATAAAAGAAGACATAAAGAAATGGCAAGGCCAGGCCGGGCGCGGTGGCTCAAGCCTGTAATCCCAGCACTTTGGGAGGCCGAGACGGGCGGATCACGAGTTCAGGAGATCGAGACCATCCTGGCTAACACGGTGAAACCCCGTCTCTACTAAAATACAAAAAAAATTAGCCGGGCAAGGTGGCGGGCGCCTGTACTCCCAGCTACTCGGGAGGCTGAGGCAGGAGAATGGCGTGAACCCGGGAGGCGGGGCTTGCAGTGAGCTGAGATCCGGCCATTGCACTCCAGCCTGGGCAACAGAGCTAGACTCCGTCTCAAAAAAAAAAAAAAAAAAAGAAATGGTAAGGCCAGGTGTGGTAGCTCACACCCATAATCCCAGTACTTTGGGAGACTAAGGTGGGAGGACCACTTGAGCCCAGGAGTTCGAGATCAGCCTGGATAACATAGTGGGACCCTGTCTCTACAAGAAATTTAAAACAAAATTAGCTGAGCACACTGGTGCACACCTGTAGTCCCAGCTACCTGGGAGGCTGAGGCAGGAGGATTGCTTGAGCCCAAGAGGACGAGGCTGCAGCGAGCCATGATCCTACCACTGCACTCCAACCTGGGCAACAGCGTGAGACCTTATCTCTAAAAAAATCTATCTATTTAGGCTGGGCGCATTGGCTCACGCCTGTATTCCCAGCACTTTGGGAGGCGGAGGCGGGCGGATCACGAGGTCAGGAGATCGAGACCGTCCTGGCTAACACGGTGAAACCCCGTCTCTACTTAAAAAAAAATTACAAAAAATTAGCCGGGATTGGTGGCGGGCCCCTATAGTCCCAGCTAGTCAGGAGGCTGAGGCAGGAAAATGGCATGAACCCGGGAGGCGGAGCTTGCAATAATCTGAGATCACGCCACTGCACTCCAGCCTGGGTGACAGAGCAAGACTATGTCTAAAAAAAAAAAAAAAAAATTATCTATCTATCTATCTATCTATCCATCTATCTATCCATCTATCTATCTATCTATCTATCTATCTATCTATCTATCTATCTATCTATCATTCTATCCCCACCGTGCACGGTGGAGACCATCCTCTTACCTAAAGCTCTCTCCCATCTGTCAAATATTTTTGTCATAATTTGTTAATTTTAACCATTCTGAAAAGTAGTATATCATAATGTATTTATCAAAATGTACTATATCTCAAAAAGTAGTATACCATAGTATATCATATTACACTTCCCTAATAGCTAATGCTGTTAAACATCTTTTCATGTGCTTATTTGCCATCTGTATATCCTCTTCAGTGAAATGTCTATTCATGTCTTTTGCCCATTTTTTTTTTTTTTACCTTGAGTTTTGAGAGCTCTTTATATACTCTACACACTAGCCTTTGTAAGACATGTGATTTGCAAATCTTCTATCTTGGTCCGTAGCTTGTTTTTTCATCCTCTTAACAGATCCTTTGCAGAGCAAAATTTTTTAATTTTGATGAGGTCCAATTAATCAAATTTTTGCTCCTATGGATCATGTTTTTGGTGTCAAGTCTAAGAACTCTTTGGCCTAACCCTAGATCCAAAAATTTTCCTCCTTATATTTTTTCTAAAAGCTTTGTAGTGTTATATTTAAGTCTGTGATCCATTTTGAGTTAACTTTGTATAAGGTGTGAGGTTTTAGTTGAGGCTCATTTTTTTGCCTGTGGATGTACAGTTGCTTCAGTACCATTTGTTGAAAAGGCTATCAAACCTTCCTCCACTGAATTGCTTTTGCATCTTCAATAAAAATCAGTTGGGCATATTTTCTTCTTTTTTTTTTTTTTGAGATGGAGTCTTGCTCTGTCACCCAGGCTGGAGTGCAGTGACATGATCTCGGCTCACTGCAAGCTCTGCCTCCCGGGTTCATGCCATTCTCCTGCCTCAGCCTCCCGAGTATCTGGGACTACAGGCACCTGCCACCACACCTTTACTTTCCGGCACTACAAGATGCTCCAGACTCACCCTATATGTTAGTATTCCCTGCTGTAGTCCTAGACGTAGCCATTTTCCCAAGGAATCCTGGTTCCTTGTAGTAGAGAATTTGCACCCTGCTTTGTTCACATAACTGTATCTTTGGGCCCGGCGCGGTGGCTCAAGCCTGTAATCCCAGCACTTTGGGAGGCCGAAACGGGTGGATCACGAGGTCTGGAGATCGAGACCATCCTGGCTAACACGGTGAAACCCCGTCTCTACTAAAAAATACAAAAAACTAGCTGGGCAAGGTGGCGGGCGCCTGTAGTCCCAGCTACTCGGGAGGCTGAGGCAGGAGAACGGCGTGAACCCGGGAGGTGGAGCTTGCAGTGAGCTGAGATCTGGCCACTGCACTCCAGCCTGGGCCACACAGGGAGACTCTGTCTCAAAAAAAAAAAAAAAAAAAAAAGAACTATAAGGTCTTTCCATACAAGTACATTTTTTGAAAACTGTCCTCATTCTTTTTTATTTATTTTTCTTTTTATTTATTTATTTTTTGAGACGGAGTCTCACTCTGTCACCCAGGCTGGAGTACAGTGGCATAATCTTGGCTCACTGCAACCTCTGCTTCCCGGGTTCAAGCAATTCTTCTGCCTCAGCCTCCTGAGTAGCTGGGACTACAGGCGTGCGCCACCACGCCCGGCTAATTTTTTGCACTTAGTAGAGATGGGGTTTCACCATGTTGGCCAGGCTGGTCTCGAACTCATGACCTCATGATCCGCCTGCCTCAGCCTCCCAAAGTGCTGGGATTACAGGCATGAGTCACCGCGCTGCCCGGCAGTCCTCATTCTTTTTTATAGTTACACAGTGTTCCATTGCAGGGATGGGCCATAATTTACTACATTGTCTCCTAAACATGGGTTTCAATCTTTTGCTATTACAAATGATACTGCAGCAAAAACCTTGTACATATTATCATTCCATACATGTGGAAGTATGTCTATAGAATAAATTCCTAGATTTGTTGAGTCAAAGGGCACATGTATTTGTATGTTTTGTACATATTGATAAATTGCCCTCTGAACAGATTGTACCAATTTCTACTCCTTCCGGTAATATATGAAGGTGCCTATTTCGCTCTGTCGCCCAGGCTGTAGTGCAGTGGTGCGATCTCGGCTCACTGCAAGCTCCGCCTCCCGGGTTCACGCCATTCTCCTGCCTCAGCCTCCTGAGTAGCTGGGACTACAGGCGCCCGCCACCACGCCCGGCTAATTTTTGATTTTTTTTTTTTTCTTTTTTGAGACGGAGTCTCGCTCTGTCTCCCAGGCTGTAGTGCAGTGGCGCGATCTCGGCTCACTGCAAGCTCCGCCTCCCAGGTTCACGCCATTCTCCTGCCTCAGCCTCCCAAGTAGCTAGGACTACAGGCACCTGCCACCTTGCCCAGCGAGTTTTTTTGTATTTTTTAGTAGAGACGGGGTTTCACCGTGTTAGCCAGGATGGTCTCAATCTCCTGACCTCATGATCGGCCCGCCTCGGCCTCCCAAAGTGCTGGGATTACAGGCTTGAGCCACCGTGCCCGGCCAATTTTTGATATTTTTTAGTAGAGACAGGGTTTCACTGAGTTAGCCAGGATGGTCTCAATCTCCTGACCTCATGATCGGCCCGCCTCGGCCTCCCAAAGTGCTGGGATTACAGGCATGAGCCACCGCGCCCGGCCTGCATTTCTCTTAGGAATCCTCTGTGTTTCCTTTTCTACCAAATTTCTCTTCATAACCTTTGGCCATTTTTCTCTTGTGTTGTTTTTTAACTTTGTAATGATTTGTGGGACTTTTTTTTTATTTTAATTTTTTTTAGAGATAAGGTCTCACTGTGTTACCCAGGCTGGAGTGCAGTGGTGTGATCACAACTCACTGCAGCCTCAACCTCCTCGGCTCAAGTGATCCTTCAACTTCAGCCCCCAGAGGATCTGGGACTATAAGTAGGTACCCACCACCACACCTGGCTGATTTTTAAATGTTTTGTAGATATGGGGTCTTACTATGCTGCCCAGGCTGGTCTCGAACTCCTGGACTCAAGCAATCCTCCCACCTCAGCCTTCCAAAGTGTTGGGATTACAGGTGTGAGCCACTGCACCTGGCAACACCTTCACTTGTTATGAATGTGTCTTTTGACAGTGTTACTACCAGCAAGTTGCTTTTGGTATTAAAAACGCAAATACAACAAATAAAAGTGACACAATTAAATAAATAAATAGGCAGCGAAAACAGCTGAAATGAAAAGGCAAACAACATACTTAATGTGGGTAACAGGAAAACTTCATAGTTTGACCACTGGGCTGGCATCAGGATTCTGGTGTCTTGATGGGCAGAAAAAAGTAAGCATTTAGCCTGAATTCTTTCTAGCTGGAGGTGATACTCTTTACACAGGGAAAACTGGGAGGGCATTAAAAAAAAGTCCTTGTTTTACTAGGGCTTTGGAATCAAGGATGCCTTTCTTCTCTATATTCCAATGAATTGTGTAATACTGTTTCTATAATAAGTTTAAATATAGTACTTGTTTTAGTTATAAGAAATGATCCCTTTCTGATATAAACCATAGATGTTTCCTTGTTTCTATAATAGGAATAATAATGGTACTTACAGGTAAGGAAACGGGCCCAAAAAGGTCAAAGTAGCTTGCGCAAGGTTATTCAGTTTGTAGTGCCAGCATACAAAGCCAGGCCTAACACCAAAGCCTGTCATTTTTAAATTTTAATTATTTAATTCAGGTATCCATCTGTTTTAATTATTGTCAACTTGCCTTCTAGAAAGGTAGTTGCCATTTGAAACTCCCACTACTTTTTTTTTTTTTTTTTTTTTGAGACAGTCTCACTCTGTTGCCCAGGCTGGAGTACAGTGGAGCGATCTCAGCTCACTGCAACTTCTGCCTCCCAGGTTCAAGTGATTCTCGCGCCTCAGCCTCCCAAGTAGCTGGGATTACAGGGATACACCACTATGCCTGACTAATTTTCTTTCTTTCTTTTTTTGAGGCAGAGTCGTGCTCTGTCGCCCAGGCTGGAGTGCAGCAGCACAATCTCGGCTCACTGCAAGCTCCACTTCCTGGGTTCACACCATTCTCCTGCCTCAGCCTCCCGAGTAGCTGGGACTACTGGCGCCCACCACCACGCTCAGCTAATTTTTTTGTATTTTTAGTAAAGACGGGGTTTCACCATGTTAGCCAGGATGGTCTTGATCTCCTGACTTCGTGACCACCCGCCTTGGCCTCCCAAGATGCTGGGATTACAGGCATAAGCCATCACGCCCGGCCTTTTTTTTTGTTTGTTTTTGTTTTTTTAAGATGGAGTCTCACTCTGTCGCCCAGGCTGGAGTGCAGTGGTGTGATCTCGGCTCACTGCAAGCTCTGCCTCCTGGGTTCAAGTGATTCTCCTGCCTCAGCCTCCCAAGTAGCTGGGACTACAGGTGCCTGCCACCACGCCTGGCTAATTTTTTGTATTTTTTTTTTTTTGTTTTGTTTTTTGTTTTTTTTTTGAGACGGAGTCTCGCTTTGTCATCCAGGCTGGAGTGCAGTGGCACCATCTCTGCTCACTGCAAGCTCCGCCTCCTGGGTTCACGCCATTCTCCTGCCTCAGCCTCCCAAGAAGCTGGGACTACAGGCATGCACCACCACGCCCGGCTAATTTTTTGTATTTTTAGTAGAGATGGGGTTTCACCGTGTTAGCCAGGATGGTCTCGATCTCCTGACCTCATGATCCGCCCGCCTCGGCCTCCCAAAGTGCTGGGATTACAGGCGTGAGCTGCCGCGCCTGGCAATTTTTTGTATTTTTAGTAGAGACAGGGTTTCACCGTGTTAGCCAGGATGATCTTGATCTACTGACCTCATGATCTGCCAGCCTTGGCCTCCAAAAGTGCTGGGATTACAGATGTGAGCCACCGCACCCAGCCACGCCTGGCTAATTTTCTATATTTTTTGTAGAGATGGGGTTTCGCCATGTTGCCCAGGCTGCTCTCGAACTCCCAGCCTCAAGCAATCTGCTCACCTTGGCCTCCCAAAGTGCTGGGATTACAGGCTCATGCCACCATGCCCAGCCAATTTTTTTTTTTTTTTTTGAGACAGAATCTTACTCTGTTGCCCAGGCTGGAGTACAGTGGTGTGATCATGGCCCACTGTGGCCTCAACCTCCTGGGCTCAAGCAGTCCTCTTGCCTCAGCCTCCCGAATAGCTAGGACTACATGTGTATACCACCACGACCAGCCAGTTTTTCAAAAAAAAATTTGTAGAGATGGGCTCTCCCTAGATTACCCAGGCTGGTCTTGAAGTCCTGAGCTCAAGCAATACTCTAGCCTCAGCCTCCCATAGTGCTGGGATTACAGGTGTGAAGCACTGCACTCCCAAAGTCTGTGTTTTAACGAAAAGATTATATGGTTCCTGTGTGTGGACCAAATGTATAACAGGAAAAAGATTAACAATTAAGTGGACAGATAGGCAACATAAAAGATTAATAGTAAAACCCAATGCCTAGGTTTGGCACAGTGACTCATGCCTGTAATCCCAGCACTTTGGGAGGCTGAGGCAGGTGAATAACTTGAGTCAGGAGTTCATGACCAGCCTGGCCAACGTGGTGAAACCCCATGTATTTTTCTACCAAAAATACAAAAAAAATTAGCCAGGCATGGTGGTGTGTGCCTCTAGTTCCAGCTGCTATTCAGGAGGCTGAGGCAGGAGAATTGCTTGAACCTGGGAGGCAGAGGCTGCAGTGAGCCAAGATTGCACCACTGCACTCCAGCCAGGGCAACAGAGCAAGACTCCGTCAAAAAAAAAAAAAAAAAAAAAAAAAACGCCCCAATGCATAAATGAGCAGAGAACAGGAGCTGATAATTCAGTTCAGAGGAATTGCAAGCTTGGTTTCTAATCCTATTACAGCCACAACAGTATTTCACTCTCCTAAGTGCTGCCGGCTCCCCTACTCCTGGTCCACACCCCAACCCCAAGGGTCTGATGTTCCCGTTTCTCCTTGTGCTTCATTAGTGTGCTCATGGAAGGCTTTGCAATGGAGACCCCCTTCAACCCTCGCACCCACGCTTACATGATCAGCCACGTTGGTGCAGCCTCCTGCATGGATGAGGACCCGAGACACATCCTCCGAGCCACTGAGGGCTGCATAGTGAAGGCAGCTTAGGTTTTTCTAGAAGGAAACAGGCATCAATGCAATATCACAAGGACCACTCCTACTGAGGTTTGCAAAGCTCTTTGAGATTCATTTTTCCATCTGAGTGTCACAACACCGCTGGGAGTATTATCCCCATTAAACTGAGGCTGGAGAAATCAATGACTTTCCCAGGCCTGGTGACCAGTAAAAGGAACTCACTATGGTCTCAGTCTTTTCCTCACCTCCTATCACAAATGCAAGAATGTAGACCAAAGCCTGCCCAAGTCTATGACTGGTAAAGACATGCAGTCGATTGACTCTAAGGAGGTGGTTTTCTTTTTTTTCCCCAAGACAGAGTCTCACTCTGTCACCCAGGCTGGAGTACAGTGGCACAATCTCGGCTCACTGCAACCTCCACCTCCCAGGTTGAAGCAATTCTCCTACCTCAGCCTCCCGAGTAGCTGGGATTACAGGCACCCGCCACCACGCCCAGCTAATTTTTGTATTTTTAGTGGAGACGGGGTTTCACCATGTTAGCCAGGCTGGTCTTGAACTCCTGATCTTGTGATTCACTGGTCTCGGCCTCCCAAAGTGCTGGGATTACAGGCGTGAGCCACCACGCCTGGCCAGGAGGTGGTTTTTAAAGAGGAAGACAAATAAGATTTGCCAATACAGAGCAAACTCCACCCAGCATGCACTGCCCAACACAAGCTGGTCTTGGTGCATCCAAACAGGATCCTGGCAGGGCCAGAATGGAGGCTTGGTCTCAGTGGGCCTCAAAGTGCTCTCTTTCAGTCAGAGCCCAGCCCAGCCCAATGATCACCTTGCACAAGGCACACACCAGACAGGCCCCACTAGGGTGACCCACTGTCTCAGTTTGCCCAGGATTGAGGAGTTCTTGAGATGTGGGACTTTCCATTTTAAAATCAGGACAGTATGGGGCAAACTAGGACTAGCTAGCCACCCTGCTAAAGTCCCAACTGAGTGAGTACCTGTGGTGTGTGGGACTCAGTCCATCTCCCAGTGGGAAATGCAGTCACCGTGGGCTTGGCACCTCCTCCGAGACCCTGCAGCATGACATTCTGGGAGGGGTGGGAGTGTTGAAATGGAATGTGGCCTCTACCTGAAACCGCAAGCTGAGGCTGAAGCCCAAGTCCTGGCATGATGAGCAGCTCCAGCCCACCACCCAGTGGCCACCCAGCTGGGTGCAACCTTCCCAGTATCTCTTTTTTTTTTTTTTCTTGAGACAGGGTCTCACTCTGTCGCCCAGGTTGGAGTACAGTGGTGCAATCATAGCTCACTGCAGCCTCAAACTCCCAGACTCAAGCAATCTTCCAGCTTTGGCCTCCCAGAGTGCTGCGTTACAAGCATGAGCCACCTTGCCCAGCCTTTTTTTTTCAAAGCCAGTCAAATTAAGCAGTGGGGAAATAAATATTTTTTAGCATAACATTTTAATTCTCTGTTTTTGAACTGCCTGTGTATTTTTGCTATTATTTATATTGTATTATTTATTATTAATATTTTTGCTATACTATTGACATTTAGAACAAAGCAAGAATTCCAGAACCTGAAGCCATTCAACCAGCCAAAAAGGTTATTTGTCACTGATACAAAAATAAAAAGCAGGCTGGGCGCGGTGGCTCATGCCTGTAATCCCTGCACTTTGGGAGGCCGAGGCGGGTGGATCACGAGGTCAGGAGATCGAGACTATCCTGGCTAACACGGTGTAACCCCGTCTCTACTAAAATACAAAAAATTAGCCGGGCGTGGTGGCGGGCGCCTGTAGTCCCAGCTACTCGGGAAGCTGAGGCAGGAGAATGGCGCGAACCTGGGAGGCCGAGCTTGCAGTGAGCCGAGATCGCGCCACTGCACTCCAGCCTGGGCGACAGAGTGAAGACTCTGCCTCAAAAAAAAAAATAAATAAAAATAAAAAAAAAATAAAAAGTAAAGCAAAAATACCAACTCACTACCTAAAGAAAGGCCACAACCCCGCTTTCCAGGTCATAGAGGAGAATTTCTACTGGCAGAATTGATGAGTACAATGGGGAGAAAGAGAAGAGGTTCATCCAGGGCCACATCCCAAGCCCCAGCTCTGTCAGGGGAAAGCTTCGTCAGTGGGTGGGAGCTCTGGAGTCAGGGGAACAGGCTTTTGAGACTCAACTTTGCCTTGTACTAGCTTGTGACCCTGTGAAAGTGCCCTCAAAGCTCCAGTTTTCTCATCTGCAAAATGGGTGGAATTTTTCTTTTTTCTTTTTTTTTTTTTTTTTGAGACAGAGTCTCGCTCTGTCGCCCAGGCTGGAGTGCAGTGGCTGGATCTCAGCTCACTGCAAGCTCCGCTTCCCGGGTTTACGCCATTCTCCTGCCTCAGCCTCCCGAGTAGCTGGGACTACAGGCGCCCGCCACCTCGCCCGGCTAGTTTTTTGTATTTTTAGTAGAGACGGGGTTTCACCATGTTAGCCAGGATGGTCTCGATCTCCTGACCTTGTGATCCACCCATCTCGGCCTCCCAAAGTGCTGGGATTACAGGCTTGAGCCACCGCGCCCGGCCGGGTGGAATTTTTCTGAGGTAACAGTTAGGAAGGGGCTTTGTGAACTATCAAGAGCTCAACAAATGGAAGACACTAACAGGGCCAGGTGCAATGGCTCCCACCTATAATCCCAGCACTTTGGAAGGCTGAGGCGGGCGGATCACTTGAGGTCAGGGGTTCAAGACCAGCCTGGCCAACATGGTGAAACCCTGTCTCTACCAAAAAAATAAAAAACTAGCCAGGCGTGGTGGTACACACCTATAGTCCCAGCTACTTGGGAGGCTGAGGCAGGAAAACTGCTTGAACCCAGGAGGCGGAGGTTGCAGTGAGCCAAGATCACACCATTGCACTCCAGCCTGGGTGACAGAGTAAGACCCATCTCAAAAGAAAAACCAAAAAAATACTAACAGGTGTTGAGGTGTTGGGCCCTATTATGTCCTGGGCACTGTGTTAGATATTTAATCCTCACAATAATGTAAAAAAGTAAATGTCATCCCACTTTATAATTGGGAAACAAGGCTCAGAGAGGTTAAGTAACCTGCTCCGGGTCACAGGGCTCAGCAGTGGAGAAGCCAAGATCAGAACCTGGCCTGCTGCCTCGAAGCCTCTATTCACTCAGGGTTCAGGAATCACTGTGGCCATTACTGCCGACATGGCTATGGCTCAGCAGACAAGAGCAGACCGCAGTCTTGGGAGGGCCTGGCTACCTGGGTGAGCGCATTCACGGTGCTCCCAGCCCTGAGGAGGAGCCGCACACAGTCAGGGTGGGTCCCTCCAGCAGCTGCATGCAGGGCAGTCAGACCTTCCTGCAACACACAAGGAGAGCAATGAGGATGGTGGGGAGGCCCACCCAAGTGACCCCCAATCCCACTGTGACAGGACGCCCCTTGTGCCTTGGCCCCAGGGCCCCTTGAGCTCTCCACTGCCCTGCCCCTGGGAAAAATGAGCTTTCTTGTTTGTGATCCCATGAGCCCCACCCCTGAAGTCCTCACTTTGTGGAGCACACACATGGCATAGCCACTCCTGGCTCCACATCTCTGCTCACGTTCTGCCCCTCCCGCTCTGTCTGTTTCCTCCTACTCCAGCAAGCCCTCCCTCACCATCCTGTCCATGGCGACGTCTCCCTTCTTTGAACACACACTCTGTGTCTCACTTATTTGGTGATCCGTCCTGCCAAGTGCCACCATTAAGCCTGGAGTTCAGTGCTGCTGCTTGTCTTTCCCTGGTGGGCTCTCAGTTTGAGATCATGCCCTCAGCCTCCTGGCTTTAGACTGCACCATGGATTGGTGGGGGTTCCTCGAAGGCAGACAGCAAGCAAGGGTCATGCATCTCGCCATCCCCCAGGTGGTGACTCACCGCATTCTGCTCCTCCAGGTCCAGCCCGATATCCACAAGTCGCTGCAGCACAGCCATATGGCCGCGACCAGCAGCCAGATGAAGGGCCGTGTTCCCCTCCTGCAGGAAAAAGGGCTCCTGAGAGGCCAGCAGACCAGAGAGCCCCAGAATCACAGACCTGTGATGAGCTGCAGCCATGCACACTGGGTCAGTGCCACCCTGCTCCTGACAGCTGTGCCAAAAACTACAACCAGGGGCAGATTGCAGGGCCAAGCCCTGGTCTTTCTTTCCTTATACATCAAGCAGGCACATTCCTTAAAAATTAAACAAAACCAATTCTACTTTCCACATGCCCATCTGAAGCCAGTCCCTCCTCGGGTCCCCCAAATCCATCTCCTCTCACTGCTCAAGGCCCCAGCAACTCTCCCCTGAACTCAGGCTGTTCCAGGCAGCTGCTTGGTCCAGTCACCTGCCTCCCTCAAGTCTCTGTGTGAGACGTTAGTTTCTTATTGAGTAGCGTGGCCTGCCCAGGCCACACTCTGAAACTGCAAACCCCACCTCTGTCGTCCTGAGCCTATTTTCCTGCCCTGCTTTTCCTCTCCCCACTGCACAGATCGCCTTGCCAACACACTCTGTCAGTGGCTGTGTGCTTAGTGTTTATCGTCTGACTCTTTTTTCTTTATTATTTTACTTTAAGTTCTGGGATACATGTGCAGAATGTGCAGATTTGTTACATAGGTAAATGTGTGCCATGGTGGTTTGCTGCACCTATCAACCCGTCACCTAGGTATTAAGCCCTGCATGCATTAGCAATTTATCCTGATGCTCTTCCTCCCCTCGCCCCCCAAACCAGGTCCCGGTGTGCGTTGTCCCCCTCCCTGTGTCCATGTGGTTCTCATTGTTCAGCTCCCACTTATGAGTGAGAACATGCAGTGTTTGGTTTTCTGTTCCTGTGATAGTTTGCTGAGAATGATGGTTTCCAGCTTCATCCAAGTCCCTGCAAAGGACATGATCTCATTCCTTTTTATGGCTGCATAGTATTCCATGGTGTATATGTGCCACATTTTCTTTATCCAGTCTATCACTGATGGGCATTTGGATTCGTTCCACGTGTCTGACCCTTGTTGCTGGAACATAAGCACCACAGGGGCATCTATTTTGTTTTCTGAAGTTTCCTTAAGTGCCTAGAATAGGGCCTGGGGCACATGGCCAACACTCAGTAGATGTTTGTTCAATGAGTCAATAATGTAGGAGGGTCTTCAGGGGATCATGTGGAGAGCCTGACATGTGTCCCTGGAACTTGAAGGCCAGAGGACTGGTAGTTGCTTTGCACTTGGAAAGTCTAAAGGTGACAGTGACATAGCCAAGAGAAGCAGCTGCATTGGGCAGGGCAGAGGGTGCAACGTACTCTGTATTTGAAGTGGCCCCTGCTGAGGTCAGCCTGCTTGGGGTTGTCCTTTAAAGGGATCTCCCTGCCGGGCATGGTGCCTCACATCTGTAATCCCAGCACTTTGGGAGGCTGAGGTGGGCAGATAGCTTGAGCCCAGGAATTCCAGTCTGGGCAATATAGTGAGACTCCATCTCTACAAAAAATACAAAAATTAGCCAGATGTGGTGGTGCATGCCTGTAGTCCCAGATACTGGAGAGACTGAGGCAGGAGGATTGCTTGAGCATGGGAAGTTAAGGCTGCAATGAGCTGTGATTACGCCACTACACTCCAGCCTGGGCAACAGAGTAAGATATTGTCTCAAAAAAAAAAAAATTCAGCTAAAAATAATAAAATTGTAAAGTAATTTTAAAAAGCCCTCAACAACTTTGTTTTTCTCTCCTTGCCAGCTTCTCTGCAGCCTGTAGCCTGTCGGCTGGCTGCTGCAAGCCAGGACAAGCAGTGGGAAACGCAGTCACAGTGTGAAATCTCTGTGTTCAGAGACACGCAGGAAGCAGGTGAACTGTGAAAGGCCAACACATGCCCCCAGTTAACGGGGTGTAGAGGCAATGGCGGGGCTTTCTTCTTCCTTCTGGGTTATAAATATCCATATTCTGGCATTTGAAGCTGCAGGTGGCACACATGGATGCCTGACAGGCGCTCACACTTTCCTGGGCAGGGCAGGGGGCTCAGAGGCAGGACAGCTGGGCAGAAGGCAGCCTTGGCGTGGGCCTGGGGTCCTCTCCCCTCCACCTTGGGGACGTCCAGCATCTCCGCCTCTGTGAGGCCTTGACAGCAACACTTCACCCTTCCAAGTGGAGTTAGTCGCTCTCTCTGGGCTCTCAAAGCCTCCCTAGCATTCTAGAGCACACGTGGAGTGACCTGTGTTGTCATTGACTCTAAGAGGTCTATCCCCTTAGCAGGCATTGAAAAACTTATTGTGCCCCCTCCCCAGATGAAACTGAAAATGAAAACACTCCTATTCTGAAAACACAAAACTTAACAGGGGTATGCAATTTTAAAAGCTTCTTTGCAGAATTTCTGATTGCAAGATTCTGGAGAAGTTCATCAAAGCTGTATGTTCTCTTTCTCTGTTCTTGATGCTCATGCTCTCCTGGGGCCCTGAGGTGTGATCATTTTGCCTCTTGGGTTAGCCAGTCCTGGCAGGTGCTGCCCTCCCCATTCTCTGTATGCCCAGTTCCTGGCCCAGTGCCTTGCTCAACCACCTGCTCAACCCAAAAGGATGAGTATGGATGGACTCAGTGCAGAACCCAAGGGGGTCCAAGCCAGGAGGCAGCCTGGTAAGGGGAGGAGCACAGCTTTATGCATTAGGATGCTGCTTCCAAATCCAGCTCTACCTGTGTCTCGCTGTGCGACCTTGGCTAAGGCATCTCCCTCTCTGGGCGTCAGTTTCCACAGCTGTAAAACGAGAAGGCTGAATTCAGACGCCTTCCAGTTCCAAGACCCGGCAGTGGATTTGTGTGTGAGCTCTCTATCACTTCGGTATACACAGAACTCCCTCTATCCTGGCCAAGCACATTAACCAGAAGATTAATAATGGAGTTAATCTCTTTGTTGGAGGCATCATTTAGAATTTGCTGTAACAGGCCGGGCGTGGTGGCTCACGCCTGTAATCCCAGCACTTTGGGAGGCCAAGGTGGGCGGGTCACGAGGTCAGGAGATCAAGACCATCCTGGCCAACACGGTGAAACCCCATCTCTACTGAAAATACAAAAAAATTAGCCAGACATGGTGGCGGACACCTATAGTCCCAGCTACTAGGGAGGTTGAGGTAGGAAAATGGCATGAACCCGGGAGGCGGAAGTTGCAGTGAGCCAAGATGGCACCACTGCACTCCAGCCTGGGCAACAGTGTGAGACTCTGCCTCAAAAAAAAAAAAGAATTTCTAATGATTCGCAAGGGTCCAATGATAAGAGTCATTTATAGGGTAGACCCTCCGGTCCCCATCACTTGCCCCTTCTCAGATTAGTGAAATCCTGCTTATAAACCCTGAATGATATGCTCCCTCCTCCATGCTCCCATCCTATTCCTGCCATAACCATAGCAGAGCAGTTGTGTGGCTACCACCCCCTAACACTTCCCCACGTCTGCCAACAACAGACAACCCCAGTAGATTACAGCCCTGCTCAACGCACTCCAGGCAGCACTACCAACCACCCAGATCTGCCACCCTGGCCAGCCACGTCAGATCAGAAATCCTTACTATGACCGTGGCACTGAGTTCCTCGAGTAAGAAACGGTGTCTTGGGCATCTTTTTGCCACCAACCTGTAGCATAGGGCTGGCCCATAATGCATGCTAGTGAAGGGCCTGCTGGATGAACACTAAATACGCTCTCGTCTTTGGGCCACATGGCCCTCCAGTACAATGGGAGTCAGACGTGGACACAGGTGAGGAGCCAGAGCCTGGAAGCTGGCAAGTTTTGCACCCTGGTCAGGATCCCAGAGCCTCACGGACACAGTACCTTGTCTTTGACACTGTGGTCACAGCCAGAGCCCACGAGGAAATCCAGAGCATCCAGCTGCCCGTGCTCAGCTGCCCGGTGAAACGCCGTCCTCCCCAGCTGGCCAGGAGGAGAAGTGGTGTGAGCCTTCCTCACTCTGTCAGTGGGCATACCTGCCTCTGCCCACCTGGCCTCTGTTTCCCAACCACTCTGGCTTTGCAGTGGCCTCTCCTGCCCCAGACACTGTCCTCTCCACTTGCCTCCCCACACCCTGCCTGGAAAGCCCAGACCCAACTTCCCAACGAGAGCCACTTGCTGGGGTCCCTCCCTGGCCAGTCCTTAGGTGGCTCCTTGCTGCCTAATGAATAAACAGATTCTTGAGGATGGGGGTTGAGATCTCCAGAGGGACCTCCAACCACCCATCAGACCTTCCCTCCTAAGATTCCAGCCCCTCAGAACTCACACTAGAGCCCTTTGCTGTCCCTAAAGCTCCCACAAGCCTCGCTCTTCCATTTGGTGCCCCTTCCAACCCCTGATTTCCAATCTTACCCACAAATCCAGTTTATTTACCAAATGCCACCTCCTCCAGGAAGCAGAAGCAATGGCTTGCTTTTCTAACCCACCTAGTCCTTGATCAGGGCCTCTCTGCGGCAACTGACTGTGTTCTGCTTGTATTCTGCTCGTTTGTGCCCCAACACCTCTTCCCAACCAGAGGCTCCCCAGGCCAGGTGCAATATGCCCACAGATCAAAGGATGCACCCAAGGAATGTGGTAAGCTCTGTGGGCAAGAGTGGCCCCAGGAGCCCCCCGCCCAATGGGAATGATAAGTAGCCCTGAGGCACTCTCACCTTGTCTACGTGGTCCAGGGCCACATCCTCCAGGTCTTCCATTATGAACGCCAGCACAGGCACGTGGCCTTTTTGGGCTGCGCAGTGCAGTAAGGTCAGGCCATCCTGGAAACAAGTGCAGGAAGGTCCCTGCAGTCTGCGAAGGGAGGCCCTTTTCACATGCTGCCAGTCCCCCAGACAGCGAGTGTTTGGGACCCAGAACACAGCCTCCCCGTGGACACAACACTATAAATGATGAACGGACCCCAGGGATAACCCACTCTGCTGCCCACTCAGCCTCAGAGGGGCCGGCAGGAGTCAGGATGCCAAAGTTCAAATCCCAGCTCCAGCACCCCTCAGCTCCAGAGTCTTGGGCCAGTTACCTCCACCTCTCTGAGCCTCCATTTTCACATAGGACAAACTAGCATCATAATCCCTGACCACCTCAGTGGGTGGTTGAGAGGACTGGACCTACAGGAAAAGTATTTTATCAACTAAAAATTAATTCAAACATGTATGATTGGGGCCGGGCGCGGTGGCTCAAGCCTGTAATCCCAGCACTTTGGGAGGCCGAGATGGGCGGATCACGAGGTCAGGAGATCGAGACCATCCTGGCTAACCCGGTGAAACCCCGTCTCTAGTAAAAAATACAAAAAAATAGCCGGGCGAGGTGGCGGGTGCCTGTAGTCCCAGCTACTCGGGAGGCTGAGGCAGGAGAATGGCGTAAACCCGGGAGGCAGAGCTTGCAGTGAGCCGAGATCCGGCCACTGCACTCCAGTCTCGGCGACAGAGCAAGACTCCGTCTCAAAAAAAAAAAAAAAAAAAACCATGTATGATGAGGTCATATAGCACTAGTAGCCTCCAGAATAATTAAGAAGGTTCTAGGCATCTGCCTCCCTTGATACAGCTGCTAAAGAAGAAGCAGGTGACTAAGTGACCAGTGTATGTCACTAGGAAGTGACCTCCTCACCTTCTAGGGCAGATTAAGAGCAGATGTGGTCTGCATGGAGTAGAGGGAAGTGGCCTGGGTTGAGGGTGGACAGGGCCTAGAAGCAAAAGGAGGGAGGCTTGAAAATACTATATTTATGCCCCAGGGCTTCTACTTCTGCCTTGCATTAAGGTCAGATTATTTGAAGTCCTGTTTGCAACCCAACAGTGAGTCATAAAAATCAGTAGAACAGTGTTTTACATCTTGACAGTGGTCAAATCTCAGTGAGTATAAACTTTCAATGTGTGTATTTCTTTTCTTTTTTTTTGAGTCAGAGTCTCGCCCTGTCTCCCAGGCTAGAGTGCAGTGGCACAATCTCGGCTCACTGCCTCCTGGGTTCAAGCAATTCTCCTGCCTCAGCCTCCCGAGGAGCTGGGATTACAGGCACCCTCCAGCACACCCAGTTAATTTTTTGTATTTTTAGTAGATATGGGGTTTCGCCATGTTGCCTAGGCTGGTTTCGAACTCCTGAACTCAGGCAATCCGCCCACCTCGGCCTCCCAAAGGGCTGGGATTTCAGGCATGAGCCACCATGCCCAGCCCAATGTGTGTATTTCATGTTGGTATCATGGACCCCTTGATATGAAGGGATGAGAAGGGCACTTCCCTCTTGTGTTCTTCCCAAATTCCATAGCCCTGGACTGATGATTTTCATGAGAAAAACATAAGACAAACCCAAATTGAAGGGCATTCCACAAAATACTTGACTACTACTCTCCAAAAGGGTTAAGGTCACGGAAAACAAGGAAAAACTAAGAAATCATCACAAGATTCGAAGAGACTAAGAAGACAAAATGACTAAAGCATTGTAGAATATTAATGGAAAAACTGCTGAAATCTTATTATAGTCTATAGTTTAGTAAAACTGTAACTATCACCAGTAGAGATACGTAAACAGCAGGGAAAGGAAAAAGCTTCAGGGCAGAAGCAGGACGGGGCCTGTGGCATTTACAGGTGGGATGAATCCCTTTGGGGAAGACCTTGAACGAGAGATTGAAAGGAAGAGTGGGGTCTATCATTTGCAAAGCTGGCTGCATCTATTCCTCCTGCCCTTGGAGGCACACCCCAGGATCGTGCCACTCTTCTCACCGAGAATCTACACTGGTCCTGTGACGGGCTTTTGAATGCAATGGAGGTGATACCACGTGGCTTTCCAGCCTTGGCCTCTAGAGCCCTTGCCAGTTCTGCTCTGGATCTTTTGCTGCCCTGAGGCAGACAGGTAAGGAAGTCTATGCTGGACTTCCTAAGGATCAGTGGCCACCTGGAGAAACTAGCCGCACCATCCCAGACATTCCAACCCTTCCTGCAGAGGCTCCAGACATGTGAGTGAGACCCTTCAGGGCCAGCCAGCCCCCAGCCCACTCACCTGCTGACTGCAGCCTTGCAGGTGAGCACAGGCAAAGCCACAGGAACTGCCCGCCAACCACAGAATTGTGGAAAATAATATATCATTACTTTCAGATTCATTACTTTTAAATTTTAGAGTGATTTGTTGCCAAAACCAGAAAATGAATATAGAGGGGATCTGCTTAACTAGAAGAGTCCATGACTCAGAACCTCACCCTCCACATACACCCAAGACCCTGCCTTCCTCATTCTAGAACATGGAGGCTCATTCACAACTCTGTTTATAGTATACTACATCAAGACAACACTGGATTCCCCAGGGCCACTGAGCCCTTCCAAGGCCAAGCCAGGCCAGGCCAGCAGGACCAGACAGCAGAACCCTGAGCTTGAACCTGGGTGTATTCACAGGGTACCCTCCTGCTGGCCCCTCCCTCCCACACTCTGGCTCAGATCTTGTGACCCACCACATAGGGACATGGTTCTCTGGGATGGATTTTCCAACCCAAATGCTTTCAGGCACTCCCACCACTGCCAACAGGATCCTAACAATGACATGAGACAGACCTCTTACATGCCACGACCCTTTTACATCTGGTGAAGCCTATAGACCCCTTCTCAGAATAACATTTACTTAAATGCAAAAAAAAAAACATTATACAGGAAAAAATATTTAATCAAATAAACAGGCTTACAATGGTGTATTCGTTTTCTATTGCTGCTATAACAAATTACCATCGCTTCATGGTGTAAAACAGCACAGATTTATTATTTTACAATACTGAAGTTCAGAAGTCTAAATTGGGTTGGCAATGCTGTGTTTCTTCTGGAAGCTCTTGGGGAAAACCCATTTCCTGTCCTTTTCCAGCTTCTAGAAGCTGACCAAATTCCTTGGCTAGTGGCTCGCATCACTCCACCCCTGCCTCCTTCATCACACCTCACACACATCGCATCACACCCAACAAATTCCTATTGGCGTGTTAGGTTCTGGGGGTTCAGAGGTTCTAGGAATTAGGATATGGACATCTTTGAAGTGACATTATTCTGCCTACCATAAAAGGAAACCAATTATATTGAAATTAAGTTATCAAAATATTACAAACCAAGTTTTCAATCTAGTAACACATGTGCTTCCTTACTGACCTGTTAAACAACAAGATCTACTGAAGGGTCTAATCACTGCCGTAATTTCAATGTAATGATAAATGTAAGGAGTTCACAAAACTTTCATGTGATATGAAAATAGCTACATTTTCTATTAGTGACAAAGTCACAAGTACTAATATTACCTACATTCAACGTTGAAAAAAATGCTAATTAGTTGGGCGTGGTGGCACGTGCCTATAGTCCCAGCTACTCTGGAGGCTGAGGCAGGAGAATTGCTTGAACCCAGGAGGCGGAGGTTGCAATGAGCTGAGATCGCGCCACTACACTCCAGCTTGGGTGACTGAGCAAGACTCCATCTCAAAAAAAAAAAAAGAAAGAAAGAAAAAAAATGCTAAATTTTCAAGAAGTTAGCCAAAATAAATATGCACTTTTTTCCAATCCAAGTTCATAGGTCCTCTGAGTTTTCTCCAAGAGCCCATGTGAGAACTCCTGGCTGAGGGATTTGGCCCAGAAATGTTTGCATTTTCCTAAGGGCAACTGACACCCTAAAAGGTGAGACACCGGCGGAGGGATTCTAGGCACTCTCACTTGCTGAGGCCCTGCTCCCTCAAACCACAGTGCAGGCTGATAGAGTAACTCGCCCACCATACCACACTTGGTAAATGATGCTTTGCTCCTTTCACCCCACCACACTGAGCACAATGGGTACGGGGCCTGGCAGGAGGGTGGAGGAGACCTCACCTCCTTCTCATTTAATTTTCCTAACTACCCTCTGAGGGAGTTACTTTGATTTGTCTCCTACAAACAAGGAGGCCAGTCAGAGGGCTGGGGACTGTCCCAACTCACTGAATAGAAGAGAGGTGGGGGAGATCAGAAGAAAGAGGGACAGGCAAAGGCAGGTGGGGGACTGGAGGGGCAAGTGGGGGTGGGGGGCAGAGGTTGGGGGAGACCTGTGCATCCAGGGCCAGGGGAGCCAAGGGGACAGAGGGTTACCAGCTGAAGCCTTACCTTGCTCTTACAGTGGATCTTGGCCCCCGAGTTTACCAGGATCTGGAGGATTCGTAAGTGGCCGAACCAGGCAGACAGGAGAAGCGCGTTCATCCCAAACTGGGGGAGAGGACATACAGGAGGTGAGAAGAATGTGGGAAGGCATGGCCGTGCCAGCCAGGCCCTGTGCCTTATGATTAAACCATACAACCAGAAGGAACTATAAGTGCCACTCAGTCCAGGGAGCTCCAAGCTTTAGGAATTTTAAGACCAATTTTTTTTTTTTTTTTTTAAATAGAGGCTGATGTACTGTTGCAAACTTCTTAAATTTATTTTTTGCTAAATGAAACTTAAAAATAAAACAGCTGCCGGCCAGGCTCGGTGGCTCATGCCTGTTATCCCAGCACTTTGGGAGGCTGAGGCGGGAGGATCACATGAAGTCAGGAGTTCAAGACCAGCCTGGCCAACATGGTGGAACCCCGTCTCTACCAAAAATACAAAAATTAGCTGGGCGTGGTGGTGGGCACTTGTAATCCCAGCTACTTGAGAGGTTGAGGCAGGAGAATCACTTGAACCCAGGAGGCAGAGGTTGCAGTGAGCTGAGATCCACCACTGCATTCCAGCCTGAGCGTCAGAGTGAGACTTCGTCTCAAAACAAACAAACAAACAAACAAACAAAATGGCTGCCATTTACTCTCATCATCATTTCATAAAGAAAGACCATTTTAGAAGAAAAAATTTGTAAGGAACCAATCTTAGAATATATTCTTGGCAAATAAAGCTTCATAACTGGGCATGGTGGTTCACGCCTGTAATCCCAACACTTTGAGATGAGGATCACTTGAGCCCAGGAGTTTGAAACCAGACTGGGCAAAATAGGGGGACCCCCATCTCTACAGACATTTTTAAAAAATAAGCCAGGCATGGAGGCACACTCCTGTGGTCCCAGCTACTCAGGAGGCTGAGGTGGGAGGATTGCTTGAGCCCAGGAGATAGAGGCTGCAATGAGCTGTGATCGCACCACTGCACTCCAGCCTTGGTGACAGAGCAAAACCCTGTCTCAAAAACCAACAAACAAACAAAGACAAAAAACAAATGTAGCTTCATAAAAAATACATTGTCCCTGTTTTCTGATTTGCTATGACTGGTGAAGACCTTTTCCTGGACTGGTGTTTAAGAATGGACTGTTTAAATCTCCCATAGAGGCTGGGCATGGTGGCTCAGGCCTGTAACCTTAATATTTTGGGAGGGACCAAGGTGGGAGGATCGCTTGAGCCCAGGAGTTCAAGACCAGCCTGGGCAACATAGTAAGACCTGTCTCTACAAAAAAATTAATTAGCTGGGCATGGTGGTGTGTGTGCCTGTGGTCCCAGCTACCTGAGAGACTGAAGTGAGAGGATCATTTGAACCCGGGAGGCAAGGGTTACGGTGAGCCAAAATTGCACCGCTGCACTCCAGCCTGGGCGATGGAGTGAGAGCCTGTCTCAAAAATAAATAAATAAATAAATATCCCATAAAATATCTTCAAAGCAGATAGCTTAAGTCTGCAGCACCACACCACCTCACGAGACATCCCTGCACAGTCAAACACTGGCTTCTGTTAGAAATGCCTCCTCCAGGCGGAGCTTGCAGTAAGCGAAGATCGCGCCACTGCACTCCAGCCTGGGTGACAGAGCAAGACTCCGTCTCAAAAAAAAAAAAAAAAAAGAAAAAAGAAAAGGAAGAAATGCCTCCTCGAGCTCTGTTGAAATCTGCAATCCTGCAATTTCCATCCCACCAACTCTCTGGAGCAACTGAAAATATGTCTGTGCCTCCACTCAGGGCAGCCCCAGGCCTGTTTGCAGGGTGCTCTTCCTCCACATCTGCACCGTGTGTGCTCCAGGGTCCCCAGAGCCCCTTCAGTGACCTCCACTGCAGTAGGGTTCCACACTTCCCCCATCTCCCTGGAGTCTTTTCTTCTCTGTGAAGAGCAACCCCAGGCCTCCAAACTCACCTCTGGGGATACATCAAGAGCCAGCCAGATCCTGGGAATGGTTTTTTGCAGTGCCTCCTTGGGTGTGGCTCCACCAGGAGCCTTTGTGAGGGGTACCAAGAAAAGGGGTCTTAGCGGCTGGCACCAGAATTCCTCTTAGGGAGGGAACTGTGTTTGGGTAAAAGCCTTGACAAAGGGTTGAGGCAAAAGATGAAACTCAGAGGGCACTCACTGATCAGCAGGCTCCCGAGCATCCAAAGAGAGTTGCTCTGCTCTGCTTTAGAAACAGGCGGGAATTTGGAGGCAGGAAGCGGGCGGTGCAGACAAGGACAGCACTGGAGAGAGGGAGGGGAGCAGAGGCTGGGCCCAAGGCAAGGAAAGAACCAAGGGCCTTTAAAGAACAGAATGTCAAAGAGGGGGTTTTAGGATTTTTACATTGTTTTTGTGTGTGATATAGGTCCCCTCTATATCCCAGTTTGGAAAGCCATCCCACACTACAAGCCTTCTGTGAATGGAGTCCCAGGGAGAGGCACCATGTTTGGGATGAAGCCAGGGTGGAATCAAAGGACTATTTGCAAAATTTCAAGAGGATGCCAAAAGTTGACCAAAAGTAAGAGACAGCAAGGACCACAAGCATTTAAATTCTTCCTCCTGAAATCCTAGGGAAGGTGTTGGACCCAGCAAAGAGCCTCAAATGAGGGTCTATCATCCAAGATTGGGGCATATTTTTTAAAATTTAAAAACAAACAAACAAACAAACAAAAACAAATGAGGGTCTACATCTGGCCTTAACTAGAGCTGAAGAGGCCAGGAGACCCGGCACTGGCTCAGAGCTCAGCGCCTGGTAGAATATCAGCAACTGTGGGCTGGCTGCAGGAGGGAGGAAAAAGAACAAGCACCGGCAGAGTCCAGAGGAAGAAGTCCACAGGCGCTCAGGAATAAAAAGGGTAAAGGCTCAGGACTGGGGGAGGGAGAGCCATGGGAGCCAGAGCCTCCTGACAGTGGGGACCCCCGGGATATGTCACAGTCCTAAACCAGCTTTCCCCACATACATAGTTCCTAGGAACTATCCAAGCCAGAGTCCTGTGGCATATCACTAGAGATCTTCCTCCAGCAACAGGATTTCCTTTCTCCAGTATCTCCTGAACCCCATTACTACAGCAGGCAAGCCCACCATGCTGTCTTATTTTTCAAAATGTTACGTATTGCCATTTGCAAAAGAAGCAGAGAGGTTTTTGTTTGTTTGTTTGTTTGTGACGGAGTCTCACTCTGTCACCCAGGTTGGAGTGCAGTGCTGTAATCTAGGTTTACGGCAACCTCCGTCTCCCAGGTTCAAGCGATTCTCCTGCCTCAGCCTCTCCAGTAGCTGGGATCACAGGAGTGTGCCACCATACCTGGCTAATTTTTGTATTTTTAGTAGAGACGGGGTTTCACCATGTTGGCCAGGCTGGTCTGGAACTTCTGATCTCAGGTGATCCTCCTGCGTCGGCCTCCCAAACTGCTGGGATTACTGGTGTGAGCCACCTCGCCCAGCCAACCGGGAGGATTTCTAAAAGGGCCCCCTCTTACTGTTCTCCCTCATAGCTTCTTTTTTCACTAAACCCTCGAAGGAACAAGTGACAGCATAGTGGTGTTAGTGGGGGTCTTTGTGGGTAGAAAGAGTTGATGCAAGAGCCTCTAGTGTTTCACCAGGGAGCTCAGACTAAGGATCCTAGACGTTCTGCTCCTAAAGGCATCCCTAAATGAGGCCTAAGCAGGTACAGGGAAGAGACAGGATTGGGGAATGGGGAGGTAAGGGTTGCTGCCTCACTTCAACCCCAACTAGTACTCAACCCCCACACAGCAGGGCCTGGGAGCAGAGAGAAGCCGGAACAAAGAAAACTGTTTTCATGGACAACTAAGTCGCTGCAGGGAAGTTTACGGTTTTATTTTTTATTTTAAAATTTTTACCTATTTATTTATTTAGACACCAGTGTATGAGACTGGCTAATTTTTGTATTTTTTGGTAGAGACGGAGTTTCGCCATGTTGCCCAGGCTCGTCTCAAACTCCTGGGCTCAAGTGATCTACCCGCTTGGCCTCCCAAAGTACCGAGATTACAGGCATGAGTCATCGCGCCCAGGCACTTTTTAAGATTTAAATGTAGACAAAGCCATAAGAGTATCCCTTTCAAATGTCATTATTAGATTCAGCCTTTTTCCCAAACCTGTAGAGATAATTTTACAGACCCCGTTACTCATCAGTGCTCTCTCTCAGCAACACACTGCCTGCCAATTGTTTAACTAAGACTGTTAGTCTTTATCCAAGACTTTGATTGAAGTGTTAGCCAGGGCAGAGCCCTGTGGCATATCATGAGAGACCTTCCTCCTGGTGCTTTTGCTAATCAGGCCTCTATCAATCCACCCAATTATCTGTTCTACAGCCCTCTCCCTGTTCACATGCTTTCATGAGGGACTGAAAAGGCTCTCTGAGAACTGAAAGACCCTTGAAAGTGGAGAGCTCTTCATTACTGTATAGGAGGAACATGGAACCAGTGCAGTGTCCCTGGCACCTGAAGCCTTTGACTCCCTGCCACTCTGCACCTGAATGTCTGCATATTAGCAGCAATCTCAGCAACCGGCTCATAGACCCAGCGAGATCTCCAGTGCCCCCCACCACCCTGAGACAGACAGACAGACAGACAGACACGCACACACAGACGTGCCTCTGTGAGGGCCCCTACCGCATCCTCCTCGTCCACAGCAGCCTCGTGCTCCAGAAGCAGACGCACAGCCTGCTCGTGTCCCGCACCTGCAGCCCAGTGCAAGGCCACCCTGCCCACCTGCCCGGAGGGAGATGACACTTGTCAGGTGCTGCTGCCACCTGGCTGCCTGGACCACCTCCCACACCCTCCGCCAGGACAGCTGGTCTGCAGGCTGGAAGGGTCTTTGCTGGCTCTGGTCCCCCCCGTTCTGCCACATGCTCCTCTCCTGCATGGCAACCAAAGCCAACATAGTAAAATGACTGGACCCATCTGTCCCCATCTAAAACTCTTTAGTTTCTCATGGCTCTCAGAATAAACTCCTGACCCTGGAGATGATGAGGCGCTGCATGGTCTGGCGCTGCCCACCCCTGCTTCTCAGAAATGCCAAGCAGCTTCCCACCTCTAGGCCTTTTCCTGCTGTTGCCCCTGCTGGAAAGCCCATGTGGCCAAGGATTATCCTCCAAGTCCCTGAGAGGCACTGGAGTCCCTGGGTTCTGTCCCCTTCCTTCTCTCAGAATGGGGCTGAAGGGGCCTGATGCACCATCTCATTCTCAGACCACCCTGGCAGTTCAAAGTGCCATCCAAGCAGGCCTGGGGGAAGCTGGCCTGTGGCCCCTGTGCCCACTTCTCCCCTCTGTAGTTTTCAGCTTATGAGGGGACAATGAAAGGAAGCACTAGTTTTCTGCGTGGTCTCAGGCAAGCCACATCCCCTCTCTGGAGCCCAGCTGCTCCTTCCTTCCTCAGTGTTTCTGCCCATACTGTTCTCTCTGCCTAGAATACTGTCCTTCACCTGGCTCCTCAAAAATGCCACTTCCGGGAGGGTGAGGTGGCCCACGCCTGTAATCCCAGCACTTTGGGAGGCTGAGGTGGGAGGATAGCTTGAGTCCAGGAGTTTGAGACCAGCCTGGGCAACATAGCAAGACCCCTATCTCTAGAAAAAATACAAAATTAGCCTGGCATGGTGGTGCGTGCCTGTAGTCTCAGCTACTCAGGAGGCTGAGGTGGGAGGATCAACTGAGCCCAGGAAGGTCAAGGCTGCAGTGAGCTGTGATTGTTCCACTGCGCTCCAGCCTGGGTGATGTGAGGTCCTGTCTCAAAGAAAAAATAAAAAAAGCCACCTCCTTGGGAGGCTTTTCCCGACCCTCCTGCACACGCTGTTACGACAACTTATCACAGAGAGAATGAATTGTTTGTGGGATGCTTTGTGTAATGTCTGTCCTCCTCTTTTGCCCATCTCCCAGCTTCTGGCTGCTGACCTTTGACCCTAGCCCTCCTGGCTCTAACTTCTCAGATGGGTCCCAGAAGTTAAGAGTTTGACCTCTGGAATTGCCAAGCCTGGCTTGGAATCCTGACCCTGACCTTGGGTGGGGGTCCAACCACTCTAAGCCTTAGATTCCTTAGATTCCTTAGATTCCTCGAGACAATGCAGGCCATGAGGACAGAGCCTGAGCCTCCCTCCAAGTTAACACATGCAAATGTATTAACTGCCTGTAGCTCAGATGAACTGTTCCCCCTGTGTACTGGCATTATCATGACACTATCCCAGGTGCCCCGATTCAGAGAAGCTCATTACGCACGTGGTTTCTGGCCCTGGTGTTAACCCTCCTCCCAATCAGCTCCTGCATCCTGCTGACGTTGTTCTGGCGGGCGGCCTCGTGGAGCTGCCTCTCCAGAGGAAGCACTATGGGGAGAAAATGGGGTGCAGGATGAGGGGGAGGATCCCCCACACTGCAGACACCAGAGGTAAACAGCCTGTTCCCACTCCTGGACATTGCTGGGGCAGGGGTCTTTCAGCTAGGAATGGGGGCAGAGTGGCACAGCCCTCTTCCCTCTCAAGGTCAGGGTCCTCCATAGACAGGCTGCTCTTCTTCATTAACTCATCCCACAGCCACGCAACCAGGACGTGGTGAAACCCCGAAGACGGAAGAGCAGGGCAAAGCCATTTGCAGCAGCCTAAATGTGTGCCTCATTATCCAAGTTTCACGTACCCTCCCAAGAGCTGCTCTTGGGGAAGGAAATGAAATTAACTCCCTCTGGAGTCAGTAACCACCTTTTCAGTCTAGTGTAGAAAACAGCCAGGATTTACTGAGCCACCTATTTCGTGCCAGCGCCGGGTGAGGCCAGAAGCACATTTACCCCACTCCTGTACCTTCCATCTCCTTGCTCCTCCACCCCTTCTTCCAACCCCTCTGTTGCCCAGACTGGAGTGCAGTGGCATGATCTTGTCTCACTGCAACCTCCGCCTCCCAGGTTCAAGCGATTCTCCCACCTCAGCCTCCTCAGTAGCTGGGATTACAAGTGTGTGCTACCACACCTGGTTAATTTTTGTGTATTTGGTAGAGACAGGGTTTCACCAGGTTGGCTGGGCTGGTCCCCAACTCCTGACCTCAAGTGATCAGCCTGCCTCGGCCTCCCAAAGTGCTGGGATTACGGGTGTGAGCCACAGCACCCAGCCTCTTCCAACCCCTCTTGCCCAAATCCTAACCAGCTTTCACCTGCCCACGCTGAGGCCACCTCGATTGTGGTCTCTCTCTTCTCTCTGCTCCTCTCACCCTCGTCACTGCACCTTTAGCACAGAGTCTCAGATTAAAGGGAACTTCAGAGCTCCCCCTGCCCACCCCTGTCACACACAGCTGTGGGCTCAGGGTCAGACTGCAGGTTAGCGTCTGAGCCAGGAGGACCCAGGGCCAGATGATCCCTACAGGAGCCCCTTGCTGCCGTCATCCAGACGGCTCTTAATTGTGAGGATGTCTAGTCTCCAAGCATTTTGGAGGCCCTGGCCACACTTGACCCTTCCTGATCCACCCACAGCTCACAGCAGGCCCAAAGGTGGGCACAGTAGGAACCCACAAAACTCTGCTTCTGAACCAGGCATGGCGGCTCATGCGTGCAATCCCAGCAGTTTGGGAGGTCAAAGCAGGAGGATGGCTTGAAGCCAGGAGTTCGAGACCAGCCTGGGCTACAAAGCAAAACCCCCATCTCTACAAAAAAGTTTTTAAAAAAATTAGCCAGGTGTGGTGGCACATGCCTGTAGTCCCAGCTACTCAGGAGGCTAAGGCAAGAAGATTGCTTGAGCCCAGGAGTTTGAGGCTGCCAATGAACTATAATTGCACCTCTGCACTCCAGCCTGGGCAACAGAGTGAGACCCTGTCTCTAAAAAGAAAACACAAACAGGCCGGGCGTGTTGGCTCACACCTGTAATCCCAGCTCTTTGGGAGGCTGAGGTGGATGGATCACGAGGTCAGCAGATCAAGACCATCCTGGCCAACACAGTGAAACCCGGTCTCTACTAAAAACACAAAAATTAGTTGGGCATGGTGGTGCACACCTGTAGTCCCAGCTACTCAGGAGGCTGAGGCAGGAGAATTGCTTCAACCCGGGAGGCGGAGGTTGCAGTGAGCTGAGATCGCGCCACTGCACTCCAGCCTGGGTGACAGAGCGAGACTCTGTCTCCAAAAAAAACAAAAAAGAAAAAAGAAAACAGAAACAAAAAAAAAAAATCTGCTTGTATGAGTGATACCAACAATCCCCATACGAATAGATGCCTGTCCCCTCTCCCAAAGTGCTCACACATACTAACACAGACAAATATTTGCTGGCCCTTTGCATAGTCACTGCAGGGCAAGTGACCCCACAGCTTTCATGTTTGGTCCGGTATGAATGTCTGAACCCAGCCCCTTTGTGTATCCAGGGACAGGTGATGAGTGTCTTGGTAGGGAAGGCTAAGATTCACTGAGGTGAGAGACAGGCCTGCCATGCAGTTTGCTTTTCTAGATAAATTCCACACAGACTTCTCCAGATGTGAAAGAGGATCTTGAGCTTTCTGGGGCCTCATGGATACAACCTGTGGACCTCAGAGTTGCTACCCCGGGAGGCAATCACACAGTCCTGGGTTCAACTCTGGGTGAACCACTTCCTAGCTGTGTTAGGCAGTTTCCTCATCTGCAAAACGGAAGCGTGAGCTTCCTTACAAGGTTAATATAATGATTAGAATCGAGATATGAAAGCTCCCTGGTACAGTATCTGGCACATAATGACCATACCACCACCACCATCACCATCATCACTATTATTCCTCCAAGGCGAAGGGTCAAATTCTGGTAGCCAAAGAGAGCTGCCTCTTCAGGTGTGAGCTTACAGCAGCCTGGGTTCTAGTACTTGCCCTACCACTTTCTAGCAGCAGCATCCTGGGCTAGCCACATCCCCCTTGTAGGTCTGTTTCTTCCATTGTAAAATTGGGGGAGGGTGAAGAAAGAGATCTGTATAGGTCCCTTCCTGACTGGCACCCTGTGTCTTATCTGCAGCTTAGGGCGATTGGCCTGGTTTGTATTTGCAAACAGCCAGGAGTCCCAGAGGGAAGCCAGCAGACACTACCTACTGCCAGGCCACAGAAGGTTAAGTTAGAATGAAATCAAGTTCTGTCTCATCTCTTCCATCCACCTCCCACATCCAATACCCAATGAGCTGTCTGAGCCTTTGCCCATGCTGGGTCCTCTGCCCAGAATTCTCTGCCACACACACCAATGCTCCATTGCTACACATTCTTCGCAGGCCCCCTCAAGTGATCCTCCACCCCAGACAGAATCATGTACCTACTCTGAAATAATTAGCATCTTGATTGAGCATTCCCACCCCCAACACATTCCTCAGCTGAGTAGATGCAGTGTGCCAGCATTTTGGACACTATAGGTCTCAAAGGAATCCAGTGAGCTGCACTATGCGCATTTGAGGGAGAGCCCCGGGGCAGCTGTCCGGCAGCTGTCGGGGATTCAGCTGTCGGGGTTTGGCCAGGCTGCAGGATCAAGGACTCACAGTGCAGACACCGACACAATCCTTCTCTCCCCTCTCCCAGACAGTGCAGCCAAAGCTGCCCCAGGCCAGCTGATGCCCACACAGACGCTGCTGCCCGGCCTAGAGGCCCTGGCACTGGGCGCACTCCTTGAGAGAGGCTTAGAGTTGCCCCTATCCCACCTGTGGCCAGTCAGGCTCCTCCCCTCTGACTGCGTGCCCCATCCAATGCGGTCTCCACTCGCTATCCAGCCCCAGCATTCCGAGGGAGCTGGGGCTTTCAGCACTTCTACCACCCAATGGCTGCGTGACCTTGAACAACTCATTTGAACACCCTGTGCCTCAGTTTCTCATCTGCAAAATGAAGATAACGTAATGTCCTACCCAAATGGCCGAAGCGAAGATCAAATGACGTGCCTCTCCTGGGTCAAGGCCTGGCACACAAAGTACAGCACGCAGTCAAGGATCGCTATTACCTTTATTATTTGTAGCTAACCTCTCAGCCGCTGCTCCCCGCTCACCTGGCGGGTGGCGCCCCCGTGTCCCAGATGCACGGGCAAGGTCCCCTTGGCCCGCTGCGCGGACCGGTAACCATTCCGCTCGGAGCCACACAGACACCCAAGTCAGAGGTGGCCGTTCGGAGGGCAACAACGTCACCCCTGACACTCCCCAAACGGATGCGGGGGTCCTCTCGGCCTCGGCCCCCCCTCCCCGTCCCCCAGCCAGGCTAACTCACGGCCGTCGGTCTCCCACGCCAGGTCCTCCTGCATCCCGCCGTTCCGCAGCCCCTGCGCGCGCTGGCGCCCGGGTGCGAGGTGCGCGTCCGCTGGGGCTGGGCCGGGAGAGCCGAGAGGAGGGGGCGGTCGCTCCGCCAGATCCCACGCCCCGCCTTCTAGGAACGCAGATGCAGCGGCCACCCCAGTCCCGGACCAGGATGCAGGTCCCTCCTCCTGCTCCCTTAACCTGCCCACTGCTCCGCGCCCGAAGCCTGCGGGTCGGGACCACGCCGAGTTCCGCAGGGGCCCCTGACCCAGTCTCCTCCCCAGGAGTTCGCCCAGCCTCCCCAGCCCTGGAGATAGATGCGCACAAGGCATCTAGCAGGCTCACCCTCCTCGCGCCTCTCAGGACTCGGAGGGATGAGCCTTGGGCCCGCCGCCTCAGGCGCAGAAAGTCAAACCCCAGGATGTGAGCTGGCGTTTAAGGAACCACAACCTCAGCAGCTCTGCAAGCATATGAAGAGATTTTTCAGTGTTCAGAAAGATGACAATGAGGTATCACTTACACCCATTAAGACTGGCAAAAATTAGAAAGTTGAATAATGTCAAATGTCGGTGGAGAATATGGAGCTGTCGAGCTGGCGTGAGTAGCCTGTGGCTGTCAATCTGGAAAACAGTCTGGCAGTAATGAGGGAAATTATGGGAGAACCCTAAAATCCAGCTCCTTGATAGAGATCTCTGAAATTCTCTTGCAGGCCCATAAAGGGACATGTAGGAGGATGTTGGTTGCTGTGTTGCTATGGTTGCTAGGAGTTGGAGACAATCTAAGCGCCCTTTCTTGTGAGAGCGGATAGATAAAATGTGACGCTGTGCAGCACTCAAAGCAAGGGACCCCATGTATTCGTGGCAACATGGATTTAAACACCTAGTGCTAGGCAGAAAAAGTAAATAACCAAACCAAATAGGACCTAGATGACAATATCAATAAAAATATTACAAATGCATTTACATCAAACAACACAGACTTGCAAAGACACATAGAAACAAAAAGATACCCATTAAATACACCAGAATGGGTTGCACTTCAGACCCTTGGGGGATGTCCATGTCCTTTTTGCCTTAAAGGCATTTACAGCTTCTTTGAATTTAGGGATAATGGGGTCTCAGGCATCTCTATCCCAAGGCAAGAAGCCAGAAAAGCCATGATAGGTGTAGTTACTACTTTGGGGATCAAAGGAGGAAGAGCATCTTTCAGTCATTAGTCCTTAAGATATCGTTCAGGAAGGCTTCCTAAAGAAGGAAGTATTTGCAATGGCCTTTGAAAAATAACATAATGATAACAGCTAGCAATTAATGAGCCCTGAGCCAACCCCTCAAAACGGTCTCAAAATAACAATTCCAACATAATAATCAAATATATGATTCCTTTTTTTTTTTTTTTTTTTTTTGCTGAGACAGTCTCAGTCTTTCTTCTAGGCTGGAGTGCAGTGGCATGATCTTGGCTCACTGCAACCTCCGCCTCCCGGGTTCAAGCAGTTCTGCCTCAGCCTCCCCGGTAGTGGGGATTACAGGCGCTCGTCCCCACACCTGGCTAATTTTGTATTTTTAGTAGAGATGGGGTTTCACCATGTTAGTCAGGCTGGTATTGAACTCCTGCCCTTGGGTCATCCACCCACCTCAACCTCCCAAAGTGTTGGGATTACAGGCGTGAGCCACTGTGCCACCCCACTCCCCCTTTTTCTTTCTTTCTTTCTTTCTTTTTTTTTCTTTTTTTTTCAGACAAAGTCTTACTGTGTTGCCCCAGCTGGAGGCAGTAGTGTAATCTCGGCTCACTGCAAACTCCGCCTCCCAGGCTCAAGCGATTTTCATGCCTCAGCCTCCCAAGTAGCTGGGACTACAGGTGTGCACCACCACATGTGGCTATTTTTTGTATTTTTAGTAGAGATGGGGTTTCACCATGTTGGCCAGGCTGACCTTGAACTCCTGACCTCAAGTGATCCTCCCGCCTCAGCCTCCCAAAGTCCTGGGAGTACAGGCATGAGCCACCACACCTGACCTAGGTTGCAGGCTTCTTATGAGAATCTTTTTTTTTTTTTTTTTTTTTTTTTTTTTTTTTTTTGAGACGGAGTCTCACGCTGTTGCCCAGGCTGGAGTGCAGTGGCGTGATCTCGGCTCACTGCAAGCTCCGCCTCCCAGGTTCCCGCCATTCTCCTGCCTCAGCCTCCTGAGTAGCTGGGACTACAGGCGCCCGCCACCGCGCCCGGCTAATTTTTTGTATTTTTAGTAGAGACGGGGTTTCACTGTGGTCTCGATCTCCTGACCTTGTGATCCGCCCGCCTCGGCCTCCCAAAGTGCTGGGATTACAGGCTTGAGCCACCGCGCCCGGCATGAGAATCTAACTAATGCCTGATCATCCGACGGGGAACGGTTTTATCCCAAACCATCCCCCCACCTCCCAGTCCTGTAGAAAAATTGTCTGCCACAAAACTGGACCCTAGTGCCAAAATGTTGGGGACCAATGCCCTAACTCATAACTTCAACATGATTCTGCTTCCCTCACTGCATCCTGACTGACAAAATAACATTTGTGTTGTTGATGCTTACCCTTATATTGTTTAATTTAATCATATATTCTCTCTTTACTGCAGTAGCATACTATATACCATCTTCTCACTTTGCCCTCCCCCTTAAAATTCACCCATTTAAGTGTATAATTCAATAGTTTTTAGTACAGTATTGTTCAGAGTTGTGTAACTATCACCACTAAATTTTAATATTTTCATCACCCCAGAAAAGAAAGCCCAACCCTTTAGCTATCACCCCCCATGCAGTTTCCCCTCCCCAACCCTCCACACACAGCCCTAGGCAACCACAAATCTACTTTCTTTCTCCATAGATTTGCCTGTTCTGAACATTCTTCTGGCTTTCATTCTGGGAACAATCTGCTACAGAGATCTCTCCGCAGTAGTCTGTCAAGATCTTCCTGCGTCCTTTGTATAGCCTCAGAGTCCTCCATTGGGTGGCTTATTCAACCACTCCCTGTTGATGGACATTGGCCCTGTTTCCAGACTTTTATTATTACAATAGAGTTACAATGACCAATCTTATGCATGCATCAATTGGTATTTTTACCAGTGCATTTATGGGATCTATTCTTATAAATGGGATTGCTCGGTCAAAGGGTAAATGCACATGTGACTTTGCTAGCTATTGCCAAATTCTCCTCCATAAGGTCCAGAAATATTTTGCATTTCCATTACCAATGTATGAGGGTGCCTGTTTCCAAGGAGAACATGCTGTAAAACTTGGATTTTTCCCAATCTGATAAGAAATAGTAATTAATTATAATCTTAGTTTGCATTTCTATCATTTCAAGCAAAGTTGGTTATCTGTTTCTATGTTTAAGAGCCGTTTTCTTTTTTTTTTTTTTTTCCTGAGAACAATCTGTTCTTATCCCGCTCATTTTAAAAATGATTGTTGGCCTTTTGCTTAAGAGAAATTTTAAAACAGCTTTTTATTTCTTGTCTTATTAATGTTTGTTCATTACTAAAGAAATTTTAAAATATAAAGAAGGGGCCAGGCCCAGTGGTTCATGCCTGTAATCCCAGCACTTTGGGAGGCCAAGGTGGGTGGATCACGAGGTCAGGAGATCGAGACCATCCTGGCTAACATGGTGAAACCCCATCTCTACTAAATATATATATATATAAAATTAGCTGGGTGTGGTGGTGGGTGCCTGTAGTCCCAGCTACTCAGGAGGCTGAGGCAGGAGAATGGTGTGAATCTGGGAGGCGGAGCTTGCAGTGAGCCAAGATGGGGCCACTGCATTCCAGCCTGGGCGACAGAGCGAGACTCCGTCTCAAAAATAAATAAATAAATAAATAAATAAATACAAAGAAGGAACAAATACAATAAATCTACTGGAAGACGCCACCATAAATCACTTGTTATATACTGTGCTAGCCCTTTTCTAACAAAAGAAAAAAATATACACACACACCACACACACACACACACACACACACACACACACACACACGAGTAGTAAATAGTTGCTGGTCTTGCATCAGCACTTGGGAGCCAGAATGGCACTGGTTTCCTCTCTGCTTAGACCAATCAGCTGCTTGAGAGGAGGGAGGGGGTAGCAGAAGTCCCCAGCCAAGTGGGGTCAGGGGTAGCCAGTGGGCAGCTCCTGGAGAGGTGCTCCGACTGAGCGGGCAGTTTGATTGTGGATAGGAGTGGCAGCCCCCTGCAGAACTGCTCACCCAGTGGGGGAAGGAGCAGCAGGAGCACAGGACTAGGAGACCTGAGCTCCAATCCAGATCTGTGCTGCCCAGCTGTGGAACTGGACAAGTCCCTTCCCTCTCTCCATATGGAAATAGGCCTGGATGGTCTTTTAGGTCCCTGACCCCTCAAGCATTGGATTGAGAGGTGATGAATAATCCATTAGAGGAAGAAAGCATTAACCAAAGGGAGGCAGGGCCAGGTTATTTTTCAGGCCCCTGGGTACCCTCTAAACCAGCAGTTTCCAATCTTTTTAGCACCATGGACCAGTTTCCCGGAAGACAGTTTTTCCATGGGTTGGAGTGGGGCCACTGGAATGGTTTCAGGATGAGACTGTTCCACCTCAGTTCATCAGGCATTAGATTTTCATAAGGAGTGCAGCAATCTATTGCATGTGGGGACAATAGGGTTCCCACTCCCATGAGAATCTAATGCCTCTGCTGATCTGACAAGAGGCAGAGCTCAGACGGTAATGCCTGCTGCTCACCTCCTGCTGTGCAGCCCCGTTCCTAACAGGCCACAAACCCGCACTGGTCCCGCAACTGGGTTGGGGACCCCTGCTGTAAACTCACAGACCTTAGACTCCACCCACATCTCCCAGCACTTGTGTATCCATGTCTTTCTGAGTCCAGTCCTAGCTCTGCTGTGTGACCCCATGTAATCACTAAATCTCTCTGACCTTCAATTTCTTTATCTGTGGATGATCCTTTATTTATTTATTTATTTATTTTTTGAGACGGCGTCGCTCTGTGGCCCAGGCTGGAGTGCAGTGGCGCAATCTCGGCTCACTGCAAGCTCCGCAGCCTCCCGGGTTTACGCCATTCTCCTGCCTCAGCCTCCCAAAAAGCTGGGACTACAGGCGCCCGCCACCACGCCCGGCTAATTTTTTTGTATTTTTAGTAGAGACGGGGCTTCACCGTGTTAGCCAGGGTGATCTCAATCTCCTGACCTCGTGATCTGCCCACCTCGGCCTCCCAAAGTGCTGGGATTACAGGCATGAGCCAACGCACCCAGCCGGATGATCCTTTTTTAATAGGGTTATTTCAAAATGCCTAGGCCTAGGCACACAGTGAGTGCCCTAGTGTGGTGGTGGTGATTATCCTCTGGCTCTCCACCTGCAACCTGTACTAGCCCATGTAATCATACTGACAATTCTATGAGGCAAATGCTAGAATATGGAAGCTCCACTTTACAGAGGAGGCACGTGAGGTTCACAGAGGTTAATACTTCACTCAGGGACACACAGCAAGCTGTGGAGAGTTGAGAATGGCCTCTCCAAGTGTGACTCTCTCCAAAGGAGAAACCGGTGATTCCCATGGCGTTGAACCACGTGCTGGGTCCCCAGCCAGGCCACTGCTGAAGGTGAGGTTGGAGGACATCCTTCAGTTCAACCACCCAGCAAGTCCGCTGGGACACCCCAATTCTAGGGGGTGACTTTCTCTCCAGGAAAGAAAGCAATTTGGCGGAAAGCCTCAGAAAACAGCACAAACAGGCTGGGCGTGGTGGCTCACTCCTGTAGTCCCAGCACTTTGGAAGGCCAAGGCACGTGGATCGCTTGAGCCCAGGAGTTCGAGACCAGCCTGGGCAAAATGGTGAGCCCCACCCCCCCACCCCACACACACACCCACTGTCTCTACAAAAAAAAAATTAAAGAAACAAAAGAAAAACTAGCGCAAGCATGTAACCTGACGCAGAAGATCCAGGTGAGAGGGACTAGGAGCGTATGGGCGCCCGGTTTCCCTGAGCCTGGCTTGTCGCCCTTGGCGTTCTCCCTGAACTCCGAGGGGAGTGGGCAGAGGACTCTGGGCCTCGCTGCAGTTTCGCTTATCGACACGCGGGGGAGCAAGAGCCGGCGAAGAGCAACCATAAGTACCATAATTCCCTCCCATCTGTCCCCACGACGGGCACGACTGTGACGGAGGCCAGAGGGGCGCGAGGAGTTAGAGGCTAGGGGTTACAGACTGTAGTCTAACCTGAGATGGGCTGGATCCGCCGATGACAGGGGAGGCTCCGCGCAGAGAGGCAGAGTGCCCACATGCTGAGTTTCCCAACTGGCTCCTCCACGCTGGGCTTTCTGCTGTACTATTTTCTGAGGCTTCCCCCAAGATTGCCAGTAAGGGTACGTGAATG